CATCATACATGTCAGACAAACCCATCAGCTCTCTAATGAGATATTTATTTTATTTATACTTTTACACACATTAAAATATGTATACAGAACGGATTCAATGTGTAATGGAATTCTCTACCAGTCGACCAAAATGGTGGTGTATTGATCTGACAAAATCAATATATTATACTAATTCGAGGGAAATAAATTATGTGGTTCATGATTAAAATATGAGAAGAAAGATGGCCGCGTTGAGAAACTTGGACGAAGCGCCTCACGAGTGGGTAAGAGACGCACCACAATTAATAATAGATTTTCCTAAGATATTTTCATATCTACACTAACCTCCTGTTGTGCCAATAATTTATTTTCATATAAAGTTGCATCCAGCTGTTTTAATTAAGTAAAGAAGTACTTTTATTAAAATGTTGACGCTGGAAATTGTTGGTAGTTCGTGGAGGTTGGAATTTATCTTCACTTCATACTTTAGGTCTTTATAAGTTTGAAAATAACTATACTTATTCCACAGAAGAGAAAGGAAATAATGAAAGAATTAGGAAGGGATTCTATTTTTCATCTATTTTAATCAATATATTCCGATCACGCGGACGCAGTCATATGTAAAATCTAGTTCATTATAAAGTTCATACGTTCATATACATATATCATATAAGCTCTTAACTGTCCACTGGTGAACATAGGCCTCCTCTATAAGAGGGGTTTTGTTAGAAGTTGCCACACTTGGCAGATGAGTTGACAACCACAGTTAACCTTTAAGTTCCCATAGTTGCCTTTTATGACACACACGGAAATGAACGGAAATATACGGCGTAAAGTTTATATAGTCAAAATGAATAAGTCGGTAACACTTGTTGGAGCTCACTCCGTACTCCCGCGTACGCACGCACCACCCGCCCTCCCACTCTGCTATTACTATTAGGCGGTCGCGTATGAATGCGAACCGTACTTAAGCATAACCGCTCTACGCCCACACTTTATCGGCATTTTCATCCCATTTAGGTAGTAATAGTACTACCAAAATCGTTATAATTAAATAATATAATTGTAATCACTATAGACTGAAATGTATATAATAATAATAAACTCTTTATTGCGCACAGTAGAGATGTATACAAGGAGTATTTATACAGAATGTGCATATACAAAAGGAGGCCTTATCGCTAAAAGCAATCTCTTACAGACAATCTAATACATATAAATAAATAATATACATAAATAATATACATAAACATATACATACATACATACATAACTGGATGTGATCATTAAATTTTGTAGTATTACTACGTTTATCACAGATGCAATATAGACCACCCAAGGTATTGTAAAACTGTTTAATAATTCTAAAAGTCACAAGCAGTCCTAACTCTCAAGTCTTCAACTTCAACTCTTCAAGTAAAAGTCACTTTATATTATCGCAGATATAAACTATATTTACGAAAAATGTACCTATTTAGGTACATTTTTCGTTTTATGATTAGATAAAATCGCAGAACACTTGTCTCTCATGTCTCTAACATATAATCTCTAATAAATAATCTTTTACATTTGTCTATATATTATAAGGTAACGAAAAACGATGTATTTAAGATTCTGATACTGAACAATTAAGAGTTTGGTATACATTTTGTTTCGTATATAAAAATTGCATTCTAACTTTCAAAGACGTTTATCAAAAATATGCTGATACGTAGAAGTTTGGGTTTGTCGTTAATTTATAAACTAAATCAAAAAGCTGTGTAGTCTCCGCATAGAATGAGCCATCTCTTCTTTTTCCGTGGATATCGTAAAAAGAAACTAAGAGAATGGTCGATGAATAGTCAGCAAAAAACAGCTTAAAACATCATCAAAAGCTAATCTGCGGTTGCTAATCCGTCTGCCAAGCATGGCAACTACTATAAAATCCTCCCAATGGCAAACTGCCATAAGAATTGGCCCTGTTCTTTATGACAGCCTATAGGGGAGGCCTATGTTCAGCAGTGGACAGATAACGGCTGAGACGATGATGTAATGATACTAAATGCTTGAAGGTAAACGAGAACTGTAGCTCATGAGTGCGTAAAATACCAGAAATATCATCATAAAGGCTTTGCTTGTAACAAAAATCTTGAGTCAAAGTATTCAGTAATTTCGCACTAGACTGTGGTATTGTCTCGTTGCATAATCATTCTAATACATTACCCAAAGTATAAGACATACTACATCATTTAACTAGGCGCTTAATTCTTTTTTAAAGCAATTATATTTGTTAAATCTCCATAGACTGATTGGAAAGTAATTCTGATTAGAATAAAGGATATTTTACTGAAATAGATTTTTTTATACCACAAAGGTAGCAAATAAGTATATATAGAAAGAAGAAAGAAAATATATCTTGCAGAAGCCCATACCACTGGTTATTATAACCAATAGTTTTTTTTACAGTTTGGGCGGCGAACTGTTAACACTAAGGTCCTAAACAGGGATCTAATAATTTGCCTAAAGATGTCTTGTTTAAAGGTGAAAGACGTGTCGCAAAACATGCGCAAACAAAATGGTTGTCGGAGATTGAAATCTGATATTGAAGGTTGTGGAACTTCTAGTACTAATAGTGGTGGTCAATCTTCAAGTGTTGGCAGTCACACCACATACAATGATAGTAAAATTAATCAAAATAATTCTAATCAAATAACCAGTAGAATTAAAGAGTATTTGGAGAGGAGGATTTGATTTTTTTTTATTGTAATATCCATTGTATTTCATTATTAATTGATCATCACAAATAAGCTTTCCCTTAGGCCTCCTTCATAGATTGCCACAAAGAGATTACGTGCATTTATTAACTTGCTGCTAAATATTTAAGGTTGTCGCTAAATCTTATTAAAGATTGTTTTGCATTATGTTTACGTAACACCTTCCTATTTCTTCTATGCTATCTTTAGGGATATTATATATATCTTTTACAAATAACCTAATTTCTGATTCTATCAAGAAACTCCAAGGTTTTCAATGTTCGCTGATATACTTAGAGTTTAGATATACAGCTATCAGTGTGACAATATTTCAATTCCATAAAATATATAATTAATACACGTAGGGTAAAGTACACACTAGGTTTTTTTAAGGGCTCTTTCCTTCTTAAGGTATATCAACCCTATTGAATCCTATACTAATTTCTCAAACAGTAAATTATTTACTTTGTCTACACACGAAAAGAAAGGATTAATAGACATCAAGATAAAAACTTTCATTTTCCAACCTATTAAAAGTATTTAGATTATGATGACTTCTTAAACTGATAATTCCGAAAGCTAACCAGCAATCTACTAACCTTAGACTTACATTCATGTATAAAAAGCATAATAAAATAAACATATAAACTTCTAAATTATAGACAAATCTATGTATACGTATATACTATGATGATTTGCCATCGCCAATACATCAGCGTAAACAAACGAGAATAAAACTTTCGCCTAACTAGGCAGAAAAGTGAATTAGCAATAGAAATGAATTACTGTGTCCAATGCAATTGTGCCAACGAGCATATCCGGCCATTGCCAAGGCGAAGCAACCGACAGAATAATATAGATATGCCGACACATTCACATGAAGATTACACTAAACGTCAATTGGGCGAAAGGATTCGACGGGGACTAGAAGTCCCATTGCTAGCAATATAGGGTCAGGTCGACCTCTATACGTTATCTTCTGGAAATCATTGATTTTAAATTTTAATGAATTCGTCACAACATAGGTCAAACGATTGAGTAAATCCTCGCCTCATCCTTCATTGGTATCCTTGTTATCTTTCCACTTCTATCTAGCAAAAAGGAACTAACTGTCCAACATGGAGTAATAAACCTTCAAGCATCTTTCCGTTCGCATTCATGAATTTTATAATGTAAATAATAGTAATCTCGTATGTTGTACGCTAACTTAATTCTTACTTAATTCACGCAGTACGATTATTAAATAATATTATAAACATCATTGATATTTTTAATAGTAGCCTGCCAAAGATACTAGTATTAGAAGCGGCTCAGACATATCTAGAGTCGGCTTTAATACTTTTATTATAATTTTATATGTAAGCACACTAGATTTATAACATTGATTTAGCTTTTGCTGTCATAATGTTGTAATTATTTTTATGAATAAACTAGTAGACAGTATAAAACGATACGTTTTAAAGAGCGGCTGCATTTTTTTTTTTTTTGCTTTTTATCGTAGTGTGATGAAAAGTATACTATAACCTGCCCAAGAGTATAAACAATAATTGTACCAAGTTTCGTTAAAATCCGTCAAGTAGTTCTGTTTCTATAACGAACATACAGACAGACAAACAAAAATTTTACTGATTGCATTTTTTCAGTATTGATCACTAATCACCCCCTGATAGTTATTTTGGAAATATATTTCATGTACAGAATTGACCTCACTACAGATTTACTATAAGTATAGGTCATAGTTTTGAACTTCAATCCGTTGCCCAAGATCAATAATTTGGACGGTTTTAGCATAAACCTTATAATGGTTAGTGACAGACCAGTGTCAGATGTTAAGAGGCTAGAAAGCCTTCAATGACTCGTGACAAAAACTGGGAATAATGATTTAATTAAATACTCTCCGTTAATCAACACCACCCAAACGGGGTAAAATAACTATATACACATAATACTATGCTAATACTTATATATAAAAACGTAGATATAGTTATTAGAAATTAAAGGAATAAATCAACCGGTTATGGGCTTTCCCATATTTTTCTTTCTTTTATCGAGGTTCGCTTCGCTAATCTGTCACCTCTTGTCTATTAACGACATTTCAAGCACCGATTTAGGCAACGTTCAGTGTGCCACGTCAATTAATTTCTCGCAGTTACCACCTTTTAATTTGATCACAATTTGCACTGTCAATTAAAAATGAAATCAAAGCTCAACAAGTAGACTGCGCAGTATAACCAAATTTAATTATTTCAAAAAACATATTTCTAGAGAATAATTCTAGAACACGCTCACCTTATGCAATAACAGATGTACTCGCCACCAAGGAGCGCTAGTACTTTTACTTTTCAAGTAATAAACACTGCATAACTGAAATCGTGCACCCGATAGCTCGCCGGCGTGGGCGGGACGTGCGACGCGATCGGCTCTCGGGATCTGACTGATCAAAAGCCACTCTGTCTGGACTTCCTCTGGTCCTGCGGCTGTGAGGAGGGCCTGGGAGGGATGGGAGAGGGGGGCGCCGATTGATCTGCGACACGACTTCCGCCGTTTCATGTCCTGAATGAAAGCCGCCGTCTCATACGCCCTACGCTCGTAGTAGAATAATGCGTGAAACCAATACGTAGCTTGTAGGTATTCAGATTGTTTATTTTTCTTCTATGTTACGTTTGCTGAAGGCATTACTTTATTTGGTGATATGGGATAGGATCAAACCTTCTTATAAGTCAATTAGTTCTATTTATTCTATAAACATACTGCGTCGATTTCAAATACCTAAATAGTACAAAGGCACGATGATACAGTCTGTCTGTCTAACCATAATATTACTATTAAAAAAAGAACAAGACCAATTACATGATATAAATTAAACAAAAACAAAATAAATTTACCACCCACTTCGGTATACAATTTCAGCTGAGAAGAATGGCCTAGTGACAAGTTTACAAAAAAAAATATGAATGGATAAAATGACTACCACAAATTTTATATTAATAAAAAGAAAGAAAGTAAAAAGCTACAAAGGTACAATCAATCACAGTATTCTTGAATAGACCAATCCCTACTAAAAGTACTCGTAAAGTAAGAACCTATTTCGAAAAAAACATATATATGTATATATATATATATATATATATATATATATATATGTATATCAATTGATATAACAATCACAAAACGTTTTGAAAATGTCATAAAACAAAACCCATACGATAAAAAATCTACTGAAACCTTTTTCGTGTTATTTTTTTATTTAATTATTTAAACTTTAATGCACAGTGAAATTCTAAGTACATTTGGTGTACTTAACACCGGATGGTATTCACTATCTGTCAACCATTGGACAAACCGAGAAATAAGTAGGCTGTGCATTACTGAGTTGAGGAAATATGAAGTAATACTCAATATATTCAGATATTATAAACATATAATTAGGATAATATAAACATATACATAATATATTAAATAAATAAATATATACATATAATAAATACAATAAAATATTTTATGACAAATAATTAACTGTATTAGAAGAGCAAATAGAACACTCTATGGCTCAAACAATGTAATCGGCAAGTTAAGTTTAAAAATGAAAAAAAAGGCACTGAATTTTTTTTTTAGGAAATAGGAGCGTATGTTGGTATTTTACAGACAGCAATAAAAATTTAATGATTTAATAAATAATTTGTGTTGTCTTATAAACGTAGTATTAGATTAATTTTTAAGATGGTTTACGACGTCTTCGTAGCTCGTAGTCAAGTGATGTGCTACGCAGCGCTACGGTGAATTACGACAAGATTTACATGACAAAGTTATGACTATATATGACTTCAACAGGTTTCAATAATGGGAAGTCTCTTTTATTTTTTGTATATTAACAATATCGAATATATTAAATCTATATATTAGTCAATATTACTCAATCCAAAGGTCGCCTGGAAGAGATCGCTCTTAGCGACAAGGCTGCCCATTGTTTTCTCAGTGTAATATTTTCTTGTAATTGTTATTATAAATACATAATAAGTTTACTATTGTAATGTTTTGGAGGAAACAGTAAATATATCCATCTAATTAATGAAACTATTTAATGATTCTTTTTAATCGAGAGAATATACTAGCATGTTGGTACCATATTGCTTTTAGTTAAATTTATTATTTTTTAATATTACAGTAACTTGCATTTGAATAAACTTAGATTAATGAATATGGGTGAGATAAAGAGGTCTGTTTGAATCGAAATATTTCGTGTTCCTTTGTTTCTGCTGACTCCAATTAGAAATAGTCACAATGTATATGTGTGTATGTATAAATAGTTATTTCTATTATCTTTGAAATAAATATCACGAGTATACTCCTCAAGACAAGAATCTACGTCGTAGTCCGTGTCTCGTAGTAGGAACTCTACGTACCGCTACGACATATTTTGTTCACTTTGTTCACCACGATCGCGAGGCCTACAATACGCATGAACAATATCGGTTATCGCTCCGATATCTATATATTGGGTTCTTTTCTGGGATATCGGGATTAGACATTGATAATAGCAAAAATATCATATCTCATTTTTATATCGCCTATATATATATATATATATATATATATATATATATATATATATATATATATATATATATATACCAATTTCCTTTACACATTTCCAACGTTCCCTTCCTTTTTTCCTTAATCCTTTCCTCCGTACCATAGGTGGCGGAAACCACCAACAAATACATTCCCAAAGAGGGTTGACATCAGGCAGGTGGCCGGTCGTAAAACTAAAAGCCAAATCTTTTTGTAATATGGATAAAACCATATTATGCCGCCCACCAGGGTTCCTTATAAATACCTATGTATGTACATAAGTAGTATTTTATTATTAGTAATTTTACATTCATATATATATATATATATATATATATATATATATATATATATATATATATATATATATATATATATATATATATATATATATATATATATATCTATAACTACGCTCATATTACCCACTCTTAGTCTACTATGAGTTGTAGTTAATCGTAGACATGTTCAACTTCAATTGACTTCAAATACGAAGAAAACGGACACACCTCAATATGAATGTATTTATTCTAAACGATTACTTTTATGTATATTTTTCTATGCATATTACGTGATATCTTTTTTTATAACACATGGGGCAAACGATCATGCGACACACCTGATGGTAAGTGACTACCACCACCCATGATCACCCGCAACCCCAGAGGCATTGCAGGTGTACTGCGAGCCTTTTAAAAAGGTATGTGCTTCTGATTATCTAAAAGATCTTTCTTGTTTCTTGTTTCTCAGTGAAGCTAATGACCATACTTTACGCAGTGTCAATAACCTCCGATTCAAATTTCCCACTCATTCTTCTTCCTTTTATTCTAAATCCTTTACTGTTCAGGCAGTTCGCCTATGGAACTCACTACCTACTTCTATTCGGTGCGCTCAAACTCTTACTAGCTTCAAAACCTCTGTTAAATCTTACTACCTCTCACTTTAGTACTATTTTCCTGTGTTCTCTCTTCGTTTTCGTTCGTAATTTTTTTTCTGTTGTATGTATGGTGTTAAGTATGTGTATGTTATGTATATATTTTATATGTATGTGTATGTATGTATGTATGTTTTTATATGATAATATTTATATAATAGTGCGCCACCTACCCTTTGTCTTTTTCTCAATGTCCTCTACCCAGCGGTTGTCTGGAAGAGATTGCTTAGCGATAAGGCCGCCTTTTGTATCACTTCTCATTAATATTTACTGTATTTGTTATTTCTCTTTTTACTTGGTGCAATAAAGTGTAATTAAATAAATACATAAATATGTGCTCTTTTCTTGAAGGTTGAGAGTTATTCGTCAATTGTACTCATATTATTTTAGTGAAAACGTATTTACGGTAACTTCCATACATTTTGATATTATATCAAGTGTTATTATTTTGATATCTGTTACCAGACCTCGACATGAATATAGTATTAACAGGATAGATGTCTCTTGATTAATAAAAATTAACATTAATGATCATGGCCTTAACCGCTGCGAATTGATAATTGTTGGCATCCCTAGTAATATTCGCGTATCAAGTATTCACATTATTTCATAAACTAGTTTCCTTAAAATTTACAGTTTTAATTTTGTTATTGATAACATAGCCATTTAAATCCTAACTAGAATTACCAGAGAGAGACTTTGTACAAAAGTCGATTGCTTGGGTACCTACCTCTGTCTTATTCGTGTTTCAATTCAACCGTGAAACAGTTGTGTTTGCATGGCTGTATTTCGGTTTGAAGGGTGGAATATGACGTGAATTTACTAGGTACGGAGGAATAACGCCTGAGTCCTCAGGAATGGTAACGCATGAAGGGTATCATGGGCGAAACAGTATACTCTGTTATGTCCATGGTACTGCTCATGTCTATAGGCGACGGTTACCACTTTCCATCAGGTGGGCCGTCAGCTTGTTTGCCATTCAAAGTTGTATAAAAAAAACTAATAAAACATTATAATAAAAAAGGGACAAAATGAAGAGTTTCATGAATATACGGTTGTTAAATTCAATCAATGCACATTATATAAAAAAAAGCTTATTCGATATGTAATCGTATCATCATCATCACATCAGCCTTCGACTGTCCACTGCTGAAAATAAGCCGCCCAGGGTTAATAAAACCCTGAGGATAAAATACAGTAATGGTAGATCTTATCTATCACTTTACAGTAAGAGGTCGTGGATAGAGAAAGAAAATGTTGGCAATTGATTAACATAAATGAAAATTTTTATTAATTTTTTTCTTATAAAAATCTTTGTTGTTACCAGAAATATTATTTAATATTTGATATCCACATCTTTTTATGTTTTCGTAAATCCGATATATTTTCCCCTAAATGATTTTAAACTTTTTTTTAATAATTTTGTTTTTAAAAACAATAGTCTTTTTTAATCTATTTACAAGATTGTCACCCGTCTCATATGGTGTTGTAAGTCTATCGCGTGACAAAAAGATAATAACTTTCATTTTGTAGGAAGGAACAAGAAATTACATAGAAGGAATGATAAAATAAATACTGTAAATCATATGATTGTCTCCTTTCTTCTTATGCAAATATAATTAGTAAAAAGAGGAGGACAGATTCACCATCATTTGCTATTTTTCTCAATTCATAGCAGGCTAATGTATAGAAAATGTTTGATATACCCATTATTTGTCAATGACAAATTTTACATTACTAGATTGTATATTCGAGACAGTTTATGTAGAAAGTATGCAAGGAGGTTGTATCTGAATTTGTTAGGGTTATACGACCGTATAACATTTTTTGTACACTAGCCTATGAATTGACAATTTTATCACTCCTTCTATGTAATTCCTTTTTCTTAGCTTTTATGTAATTTATTGTTCCTGGCAAGCAGTTGTATCTGAATTTGATAGGGTTATACGGCCGTATAATATTTTCTATACGCTAACCTGCTATGAATTGACAAAAATAGCCACTGATGTATCTTTTATCTTCTTTTTACTAATTATATTTGCATAAGAAGAAAGGAGACAATCATATTATTTCTTCTTTATTTTATCATTCCTTCTGCGTTATTCCTTATTCGTAGGTATACCTATTTCATATATCTTGAACATAGATAAAGGATAAAAATCTGATATTTAATAAATTAAGTTTTAATCTTTAAGAAATTAAAAAGAATAGAAAACGCCGATTTAAAATAGAAAATTGGTATTTATAGTAAAATATTCTATTGAAACAAAGAATATTAACAAACAAATTGCATAGATAAAGAAGAATACTATTGTCATTAGAGAAAGACCTCTTCTTTAGATAATTTAGGTACAAGAAAGATAAAAAATACAAAGGGCACAGTTATCATATAATCCTTAAGCTGTGATTTTTAATGTAGAAAGTTTTAAATTAGATTACCGATGACTTGTAGTATCCTTCAGTTATTAATCTAAAATCACCACCTCGCCCATAACCGCCAATTCTTAAACACAAGTTTCCAGAGCCTTAAAATATTCAATTTAATAAAAAAAAGTCATTCAAATTTTGAAATTCAATTCCAACGCTCCATTCGACTGCGAAATCGTGATTTCAAAAAATAATAATTCAGATTATTACTTATTCAAGAACACTTTTTATTAATTGGTTTGGTTCCGACGATTGTGTTATTTTTAAGTTGCTAAGTTTCAATTATATGTTTCATTGAAAAGTTAGGACAAAAGTTATCGTCAATATGTCTGGAAGAGACATTTATTATTCTGAAAAGTATTATGATGAAGAACACGAATACAGGTTATCTTTCTTTAAAAATATTGTTGCAAATAAGTAATTACAATAATGTTTCTTAATCTTACATAGTTTAAATAATTTTTAAATACTTATAACCTATTCAACTTTCACTATTTCAAAAGTTTACATTTTAGAAGTTGTACAATAAATACATATAGAATTACTTTTAATATTCTAGGCATGTAGTATTGTCAAAAGACATGGTGAAGCTAGTACCCAAGAACCATTTGATGTCGGAAAAAGAATGGCGGAGTATCGGGGTTCAACAAAGCCAGGGTTGGGTACACTACATGACACATCAACCTGGTATGTATAATCATTACTTATTGAAATTGATACTTGGGAATCTTTAAAATATATACCTTACATGAACATAAACAGAGGAGAATATGAAAGGTGAACTAATATTGACTTATTAACTTGATTTTAATTATTTTATAGCAAATAGGAAATTTATAGCAGTTTACTAAGAAATGTAATTATAAAATATGGTGTTATACGATAGTCCTCAGGAATGTTAATACATGATCATATCAATGTGCTCTTCATATCTATAGGCAATGGTTACACTTTCTATCAGGTGTACTAAGACCTTGTTTACCATTTTAATTATAAAAAAAGTTTATGTGTAATAACATAAGTATACATAAAGAATTTAGATAAATTTTAGAATATAAGATGATTTTATAATGTGTAATAGCAAATTTTTAATGTTGATGTACTTAATAATTTAAATTTAATAAAATATCACCAAATCCCCTTAATAAAGGTGGTAGTCCATCAATAGAAGATGTCCATGTTAAAACTTATTAATTGGATTAAAGCAGCATATATATAAATATAAGATTGTAAGGAAAAAGGTGTAGATGTGCCATCACAATAGAGAAGTCTATAGATGTTTTAATATCAGTAGATAAGTTTAGTAAAACATGTATAACTCTTTTATATGCCTGATAAAATTTTATATTTTTATACAGACACAATGAAATAGTTATATAAGTGTGCATATTTTGTAATTGTGTGTGTATGACAGTTCTGGATTTATATCTACAGAATTGAAGGTGCATTAATTGTGTTCCACAAACAAAACCTAATTTCAAATGTGGCAAAAATATTATTATGTTTTCTCTATACTTTATAACCTAAGAAAATCTTTCTCTCTTTCATTCCCTCCCTTTCAGTTGCTCCAATATTTATATCTAACATGATATATTTTTAAATTCTTTTCAGAACCTCACATTTTGCTGTTTCGACGAAAAAAGACTACACCATCGCAAAATAAATAAGCCAGCCTGTTAAAAAATAAATGTACAGATCTTTCTTGAGATTAGTTATAATTTAGTTTTAATTTTTTTATTATAGACATATGGTGCCTTAAATTATTTAACTGTAAACTGGTACTTGAAGAATTATTTTACATTGTTTTCTATACTGGGATACCCTGATTTATCTTTTGATTAAAATTAAAAAGCTTTGAGGGGTAATTTTCAATGTAGGTTAAAAGCACACAGTGTTTGGCATAAAAATATTCTTATCACTATTAGACCATGCTTATTTAATGATTTACAGCTAAAATTATTGTGACTGTGATGATATTGTTAAATGTCATAAATGTATCTAATGACAAAATCAGTACAAGATGAACATGAGAGCAAATTCTATTAAAAAATTATTGGCATAATTTGTTTAAAATTAAGCACTAAAAAATATTTCTTTCTTTCTAAGTTTGTATAAATTGACCTATTTGTTTAGATGACCTCTTAATTTTTGAAGGATAATTTATTTGTATATTAAAATAATGGTGTTAATTTTGAAACTTACCTATAAAATTTTAATTTCAATTTGATATTGTAATATTGAAATCTTATTGTAAGGACCAATATCAACTAATTTTAAAATAAAATTATGCCAAAGTTATTATAATTTTAGTTTATGATGGTCCATAAAACAGTAATTAAGTGAAATTATCAAATTAAAATATTGGGTTAAGAGATAAGTTTAGAGAAATGGTGCCTTGTAATCAACCCCAATGTGATTCTCAACCAGAAAAAAATAAATACCATCATCAATAAAAATTATAACAAAATATAAATAGTTGCTAATAAATGTTATCATTTCAGACACAAAATATGGTTTGCATTGCATAACTTTTGGTATTTTTTCAGAATTCTCTATTTTTATTCATATAATTTCATATGTGGAATTTTTTTTTTTTCAATAATATTCTTAGTTTTTTTCTCTACTTGGTATATTTAGTGTCTTTTATCAAAATAACAGTGCAAAATGGACAAAATTGTTGTTTAATTGCTTTCCTTTCCTGAAATGTTAATGTTGAAAACATGGAATAATTGATTACTGAATATACAAAAAAAAATATTAACTGTTTTCTCTAACATAACCATAATACATTTAAAAAAATTAACGGGGCTAATTGGAATTAACTAAATATTATAATGCAAATAACATAGTCATTCATAATATCAATATATTGTTGATTGTAGTTGATTGGTATTCATGATTAAAATTTACACAACATGTAATAATTCATCTTCTGAGAAAGTTCACATTATCACGGGCTCTCTAATTACTATACTTTCCATGTATTTATTATACTGCCATACATTTACTATACTGTCCATACTCATGTGCATGTTGTCTTGCTGTAATGTAATAATGATTTTCCTTCATTATAACTTTTTAATATTGTAAATAAATATATCAAGAATTGCATCAATTGGATTTAGTCAATAAAATTCTAATAAATTAATTGGTGCTATAGAAATGTTTTATTTATAAAATTTGCTGTAGAACAACCAGAGATCACTGTTACAATATTTGTGGTCCTCCTAGTGTATAATCTTAGTGATATTATAACTTAATAATATTATAACTACACACTTAATAAACACTTCTCATTATAGTTAACAAATATAAAACAAGAAATAATTTAACATTTATTTTCTTTTTTTCTTGGCACTAGGAGATAAAGAAGGCAATTTGGCTGTATGCTCTGTATGTGAAAATTCCATTGGTTCTATTTTTATGTCATCTGTTGTAACTGCATCCAAGAGCTCCAATCCTTGCAACTGCTCCTGTTCTAAGCTATGCAACATCTGAAAACCTGGCTCCAGAGATGGTGTGAATGCTCCATCTAAGGCAGCTGGGAAATGCAATTCTGGTACTTCTTCTAGTTTCAATTGTGGTGCAATATCACCGATCACCAAAGCATCACACTGAGATCGCAGTTCTTCACATTTCTTTTTTACTTTTTCATGATATCTCACTACTCGATTATTGTAAAACTGATGTAGATCACCAACATTTAAGTCTGCAAAAACTTTTGATATAACATCAGGAAATCCAGATTTAAGGCCGCTTGCTTCTCTATCAACAACAGTCCGTAACAATTTACACATGTTGGTCATATAAATATCTAGTGCATCTGCTACAGCATTGAGTGCAGTATTTGTACATGTTGCTATGCCAACATGACCTATAGCTATAGCAGCACATTGTCGCAGTGCTCGTTTATGGCTTTCTGGAGTAAAAGGCAAAATAATTGCTCCTTTGCCGAGTGAAAAATCACAATATTTTTTTGGTAAGAAGTTGATGGGTGGAGTTGTCTCGTGTTCCGATTGTAAAAGTGGTTCTGGAGGTATAGTGGGCAAACTCATTGGATCTAATCGCGCACCTTCAAAAACTGCATTTTCCGTTTGTTCTAAAATAGCGGCAAGTTGTCTAGAGTAAGCATGCAGCTGTATAGTATGAGTAATTAAATTAGGCTTGGGCAATTCAATCGGTGAAGATTTCACAGTAATCGGAATTTCGGGTATGTTCTGCATACCCAGTTCGATGATTGGATTGAAATTAACATTTTGTGGTATGCTTTCCTCTCCATGATCATCGTCAAACTCGCCCCATAATTTTCTTGTCGTCATTTTGTATTACGACACTTTCGTATCTAATATACCATAAAAATCTTATTTTTTCCTTAATTATAAAATTTTTAAATAATTGTGTGTAGTAGTGGGTACTATTCTACTAACTTAACAGAATAATTAAATTAAAACTATTTAGTGTATTGAATATTAATAAATAAATAAGCAAAATTGTTATGCTCTAATTCTCCACTGTTTGACATTGAGAGTAGACTGACAAATGGGTGACATACATCCAGGCATAGATAGATAAAACAGCATAAAATTAAAATGCTATAGGTACATTGATAGAACCACAGATAAACAATAATAAAGAATACAAAACATAAGTTAAAAATGTAAATATTTTACTTTTCCTCGCTCGCTCCTACCTAGCATGAATTAGAGAAATATTACACAAAATATGCATTGCTGAGTATGTATTAGGAAATAGTTTTTAAGGTTTATTTTACATTTCACTTTTTGTTGATTCTCGCGGATCTTTATGTACCTAACATAGACGTCGGGGGGAGAAGGGATTGTTAGTGATGCGGTTTATCAGTTTCATTGCTAATAATATACCCTAACAGGTCGACCTCCTCGTGGTCTCCCCTGGAAACTATCGTGCTGAATTCCAAGTGTATTCATCACGATGGGCTAACTGACCTGCCTTTTCATCCTCACCTATCATCTATCAATGGTGCCCCGCCAGCGTATACCGTTAGCGCAGCCGGGGTTACCATTCCATTATCATCCATTAAAAAAAAAACATAGACGTCGAGAGGAAAGGTATTGTTAGCAATGAAGTTTGACAGCCCCATTACTAGCAATATGCCTTATTAGGTCAACTTCCACGTGGTTCCCCCTGAAAACCATCGTGACCAATTCTTGTTGAATTCGTCACAATGGGCTAACTAACCTTGTTCATCCTCACCCATCAGGCTTCACTGGTGCCCCGTCGGTGTATACCGATACCGCGGGTGGGGTTACCATTCCATTATCATTCATTAAAAAAAAAGCATAGACGTCGTATAGGCCCGGCATAAAATAGGCCACCCCTGTCTTTTCCGTGGGTATCGTGGTATCGTGACTAAAGGGGTTAAGGGATGGGCAGCAGCAACCCTCTAAAAACAACTCCAAGGCCTAACTGCGGCTGCCCACCGATCTGCCAACCGTGGCAATTACTGGCAAAAAAACCCAATAGAGGAAAGCCTATATTCCGCAGTAGACAACTACTGACACTGCTGTTACTTTAATCTAAGTATTATGCTAAAAAGCTAATAAGCAGAATATATGTAGCAAAATATTTATTCTTTTTACAGTATTTTTAATGGACTTTAAGAGACTTACATACGTGAATTTACAGGGTACAGAGGAATAACACCCGAATCCTCAAAAATAGAAACGCATGGGGGTATCATAGGCGAAACAGTATACTCTGTCATGTCCGTGGTACTGCTCATGTCTATAAGCAACGGTTATTTTTTTGATGGGTGAAAATGGAATGGTAACCCCGCACGCGCTAACGAGATACGCTGGTGGATCACCAGTGAAGGGTGATGAGTATAAAAACAAGCCACTTAGCCCATCATGATGAATTCATCAGGAATTAACCATAATAGTTTCCAGGGGGAACCGCGAGGAGGTCGACCTGGTTGAGTATATTGCTAGCAATGGGATTCCCAGTCTCCATTACTAAAAATCCCTTTTCCCCCAATAAGCCGACGGTTACCACTTTCCATCAGGTGGGCCGTCAGCTTATTTGCCATTCTAAGTTGTGTAAAACTGCTAGTACGTTTTCTTCCGTAACAGCCGTCAAAGGGCGACCAGTTCTTTCTTCATCCTCCAAAGTTAGTCGATCGCGCTTAAATTCATTATACCAACGATACATGGCTGCCTTAGAAGGGTCTTCATTCATGAATGCCATTTGAAGTCTATCGTACGATGCGTCCGGTTTCAGGCGACACTTAAAATCATAGCGCGAAAATGTTCTCGACGCAAATTCATTTTTCAATGAGACAGTAATTTTAATTAACTCGGAAAAAATGTGGAGAATTTTGAATTTAGAACGAACCTATTTTTACTTATAAGTAATCATATTTTTAAATAAACTATAACTGGCCAGTCTCACATACATAAAAAGTTTTTCTCGCACTACTTTCTGAGTGACCTGGTATTTAGTTCTCATTTTAAATGTAAAACAACAAAAATTGAAATGAGAAATATTCTATTCGTTAAATTAACCATCTGTTAAGTAATTTTTTTTTAATGGCGAGCATTTACTTCTCTACAAATTAATTTAGTTTCACAGGCTTCTCTTCATCTGGCATTTGACTTATTTCTCTGATCTCAAAATATTTTTGTTAGTCCATGAAAGAAAGTATTTGTACATTAATTTAAGCATTTAAATAAAACAACATTTACAGCACCAAGTATTCATAGACAAAATAATTTATTAAAAATTGTAAAATTGTTTAAGTACATTATATAATGATGGCATTAAATTATATTTAGGTAAGTGCATTAACAATTATAAAGCCAAATCATTATTGAAATTATATAAATTAATTTTGTGTCTAAAGATATCCAGTATATTTCTACCTACCTAATTATAATTGTTGAAATAAATAGATAAATTATAAGAGAGATTGCTTCTAAATCTGACACCTTACAAACCTATTATAGGGTCATGCAAAATCAAAAGAAATATAGAGAACCAATTATATTTTTTCCACATATTGATTTTTTTTATTTATAATAACTACAATAAGTATGATAAAAGTAATATACCATAGTTATTCAGACAAACTTAGAATAAGCAAATTAAAGTTATATTGTACTTAACGATTTAAATATGTCACTCTTAGATAAAAACAAAGATGACAATTCAATAACATTATCTAAAGATAGAAAGAGCATGTTGGTAGTTTTTCTTATAGTCAACAATGACCAAAAATAATCACAGTTTTTCATAAATCGATTTTACCTACTAAGATTATCTGGGTTTTATCACATTTTAATATACAGCCATTTTGTTAGTAGCTAATAGCGACAAATTAAATTAATTCAGTTATTCTCACAGGTCTCTTCAGCTGACATTAAGTTCGTTCTTCTAGTCTCATTATATTATTAAGTAAAACATTAATATTTCATAACATCTCCAAACCAAATGAACCATAACTAAATTAATTTTATCTGGTAGAATACAACATGACTATTAAATTCTTTCTGTAACTACTGTGGTATAACAAATGTAAGCCAAAACTTTCGTGCACTATATTTCTTTACAATTTCACGGTAGATGTGAATAGTTATTTATTACACTAATAGATCTGTTATATTACAAGAATGCCACACCCAATAATGTTATTTAGTATGTCTTTTTTAACTAGCAAATGTGTTTATTGAAGTTTGTATTATTGTATATTATTAATTCAGTAGCTCGAAGTAAATTCTAAATTAATTGAATGACTAATTTCAATTAAATGACATTCAAAAAATAATTAACTTATTAATCCAAGTAAGAGAGAAGGAATTTTACAATCTTGTTATAATCATTTGATTTACCAACATTTAATTGGAACCCTCAGATACCTATACATGATAGTAGACTTAGAGACTTCTATTTATTATTTTTAAGTAGATAGTAGTATAAATTCATAAAATTATTACTAACATAAAGAAAACTTAAATTACGGAATGAAATTCATTACACTCATAACATATAATGTAACCCATATAATATTAAATCAATATAATTGAGCATTAAAACTATTAAAAATGCTTATGGTTAAATTTAATTTTAATAAATGTGCTGCCAACAAAAATTTTCAGACTACATGGAATATATTCCAATATTTTCATCCAAATCAAAATTATCATGCACATATTAAAGAAAACAAGAGTCATTAATAAAATATTGTAGGTACTTAATTCTAGAAACCTCTTGAAACTTGATAAACTTATTTGAAAAAAGAGGGGGAAAAATAAATACTTAATGTGGTAGTGTTAATATCAATAAAATTAAAAAAAAAATGTTTGAGGCTTTAGAAAATTGAATAATGGCAGGAAAGTAAAATTTCAATTACAAATACTATTGATTGTATAATATATATATATATATATATATATATATATATATATATATATATATAGGGTTGCAATAAATTTGTCATGGGAAAATTAAAACTAAATTATAACTAATCTCACAAAGAACCTGTACATTTTTTTTTTGCAGTATAACCATAGACCAGCTTTTTTACTTTTTTTCTTGTTGTGTAGTCTTCTTTCGCCGAAAAAGTAGAATGTGTGGTTCTGAAAATAGATAAATACAAGTTTTCTATCAAAGGACTTTTAGAAATGTTTGTTTAAGCATATAACACAACCCATTATATTCTATAATGAATGAGGTTACAAAACAAAATAAACCTTAATAATAAAAATATAAATATGAAATCATTAGCATCCTCATAGAAGTTTTGTACTAGTAAAACTGAATTTCCTCATAGAAACATGAAATGAAAAATAAAACTGGTCAAATGTGAGTTAAACTCACAATCTGAATACTTCATACATAAATCAATTTGTAATTTCTTATTTTGGGCCATAATTGTGGTTAAAATCTAAACTACATAATTTAATTTATGGAGTTTGTTTTATTAATTTCTCAAAAATCATGCTAATTAGAAAGATCTTTTTTTTATAATATACATATATATTCTTTATTGTACACAAAGGACATTATATTAGAATAATAATTATACACATATCTTTTACATTTTTCACTTCAGAAACTTTGCCTACTCCAACAAGAGACAGGTGTGATAGATTTGCATGTACGTATGCATGTACAATGAGTGTGGTAATAATTGTTGTTTTTTTTTTCAATGGGTGAAAATGGTATAGTAACCCTGCCTACACTAACGGGATATGCTGGCGGAGCACCAGTGAAGGGTGATGGATGAGAATGAAAACAGGCCAGTTAGCCCATCATGATGAATTCATCAGGAATTAACCATGACAGTTTCCAGGGAGAACCTCGAGGAAGTCGACCTGGTTGGGTATATTGCTAGCAATGGGATTCTCAGTCTCTATTACTAACAATCCCTTTCCCCCGTAATTGTTGTGTTATACAGGGAAAAGACAATATAGAAAAAAAGTTAATAGGTATGATAGATTAAAATAAAAAAAGATATTAAATAAATGTGCAAAAAAAATAATATGATCAGATAAATAATAAATAGTGAAATAAGTGTAAATAAAGATAACAAAAAAGAAAAATATAAGATCATACAGAAGAAGTGACAGACAATTAATATTCATAATACCTGACTTTTGAGGCAATCAAATTGGGATAAAATTGAATAGACATAATTGTTGCACTAAGAATGACTATAATGTTGACTATACTTGATTTCTTTTCAATGTGGTTTTGATTTGATTAGAATTAAATTGCACAAAAAGGCGGCCCACAGATATTGTTAATATGAATAAACATGTACTATAATAACAACTATTACTAGATGAAAAAAAGTCCATAATCTTAAGGTGAAGGAATGTTATCTATTTTAGGTCAAATTATATTCAATATAGATAATTTTGATTGAACATACCAGGTTGATGTGTCATGTAGTGTACCCAACCCTGGCTTTGTTGAACTCCGATACTGCGCCATTCTTGCTCCGACATCAAATGATTCTTGGGCACTAGCTTCACCATATCTTTTGATAATACTACGTGCCTAAAAACCGATAATATTAAATATAAATTTTTTTTTAAATATTTATGGGGCTTCTGAGGATACAAAACACATTATTATTATTGCGAAATCCTTAATTATTTTATAGATTTTATTTTTATTGTATCTTTATACTTTTGTTTTTACAATAGTCCCTTTGCTCTTTTCCGCTGTCGTAGTCTGTCTTTCGTAACTTTCTTTTTTATAGTTATTTTCCTTCAAACCCATTGTTTAATTACATAAAATACATTAATATACAATCCATAATATCGCACACAATTATTATACCTAACGATCTGGCCCGGCTCTGAACGGCTAAATAAAATTTTTGAAAAAGCAGTCTGCTTTACTTGCTTTTAATTTTGCTTTCTATAAGCGAAACAAATTTTAAAATCTGTTGTAAATTTCTAAGTTTATCCATTACAAACAAATGATTAAATAAATAACTAATAACTCTTTATAATATTAGTATAGATCCAAAATTTTATAAATAATTAATTTATAAAAGGTTACCTGTATTCGTGTTCCTCGTCATAGTATTTCTCAGAATAGTAAATATCTCTCCCAGACATGATGTTAATCACTCTTGTCTAAGTTATCTACTAAACGTATTTCACAAATAATCGTTAATCACTTATAAAGAAGTCACTTGAATCAAATAGACTAAAAATTTGATGGTCAGTTGCAACGGAAGATTCTTTAAAGATTCTAGAAATTCACAATGAAATGAAATCACAAAACATAATCGACAAACGTTATGAAATTTCAAAATTTGAATTTTTTTTTTGTACTGACTACGATGGCTCTGGATACGTCTTCTTAATATTAAAAAAAAAAATAATAATGTGCGTCATAGATCACGAATAATAGGTACTGAAAATTACAAACATCATTTGTACTACGGAGAGGTTTATTGGTTTCTTTAATCTGTGGCTCACTGTCCGTAAACGATCAAGCATATAAATAGTTATAAAGTAATGCTGTTTTGTCTTACAAGCGGGAATGTAAATTGTAACCGCTTAATTATATGTGATTTCGATATAAAAATGTTATATTAAATATTTATAAATAACATTATGACGAAACAAAAATTGTAAATAATGACAAATTTATGATACAAACTGGTTCACTTACCAGTCTGTGTAATTAATTACACTTAAACAGCAAATTTTAACTAAATATTATAGATAGGTAAATTATATTCTGAATTAATACGTCCTATTTTTTGTAGAAAAAATTAAATAAAATTATAGAAGTTGTTTTGAAATAATTTATTAAAATAACAAAAGTATTTAATACTAATATATATTATAAAATCTTTGTTTAATTTCAACTGTTATATTCGGAACTATCATAACTTATCTTCTGTATCAATATGTTTCTTTTTATGGTTTTCAAACTCTGTCTTTTGGGTAAATTTCTGTGAACAATAGCCACATACCATCATTTTCGTGTTACTATGTGTACGTTGTATATGTCGTTTTAGATGAGAAGCGCGCGTTAGCCGCAATCCGCAGATGCAACAAACATGAGGCCTATCGCCCGAATGAATAAGCAAATGTTGCTTCAAATCACTCCGAGTAATAAATGCTCGACCACATGAGTCACATTCAAAATTTTTCTCACCAGTATGACGTCTAGAAAAAAATAAAAGAATAATCATTTATTAACTGTTGATACAATGTGAAACTCTTTGGCAATGGAAAGCAGTAGTAACAAACCAAATTGATTGAAGTAATAGTGGTAGGCTTATTTATTGCATTGCTTGAATTATAATGCTCAGCAAAATGTTAAGCTTTAGAATTCAAGCAAAATCCAAACTGAAATATTACTAACAATTACTAGTATCCTATACTACTACAATTGGAAATTGTATTCATGAAATAATAATATTTTCAATTTACCTTACATGATACTGTAAATGACCAACAGTCCGGAACATTCGAGGACACAGCAAACACCTGTATGGCAATTGGCCTGTGTGTTTTCGTTTGTGTGCAGCCAAGCCCGCTGATTGGGCAAAACATTCACCACAAACAGGGCATTTTAATGGTTTTTCACCCTTAAAAATTATATATTATTCAAAAATAAAATGTTAAATACTCATAAGTGCAGAAGGGATTAACCAGAAGACAGAAAATTTCTCACTAGCTGCAACATGACATAAAGGGTATGATTTTAATCACCTGGTGCTTCAGAACTTTGCCATTCACAAAAAATTTTTGCATAATTAAACAATATTTCTATAACAATTTTCAATTAATAAACTTAATTAATCGTGTTTAATTATAAACAAACAAATGAATCTTACTGTATGTATTCGCATATGAACTTTAAGGTTCTGAGCCAAAGAAAAGTTTTTGCCACAGTGTAAACATGAAAATGGGCGTTCTCCTGTATGTGTCCTTAGATGTGTTTTCAGACGAAATCTAGAAATTAAAATATATTTAAGCATATAATTACTTTAATATTTATATTTTGCTAATAGTAGATAAATTATTTAAATAACTTGAAAAGGAAAACTGATAAAACCTCAGGTCCATGGACATAGATTATTAGGTTTTGAAGATAAATTATATTTTTTTTATGCAACTTAGAATGGCATACTTTAGGGTTAGCAACAGACACGTAATACCTGTGGTATTGCAGGTGTTCATAGGCTACGGTAACCACTTACCATCAGGTGGGCCATATGCTTGTTTGCCACCTCAGTGGTATAAAAAAAATGGCAAACAAGTTGATGGTCCACCTGATGAAAAGAAGTAACTGTCACCTATAGACATGAGCAGTACTATGGACATAACAAAGTATGCTGTTTCGCTCAGGATACCCCCCATGCATTGCCATTCCTGAGGGCTCAGGTGTTATTTCTCTGTACCCTGTAAATTCACTGCCATATCTCACTCTTCAAACCGAAACAAAGCCATGCAAACAACTACTTATTGGTAGAAACACGAATGAAACAGAAGTGCTCAAGCAAACAATTTTTGTATAAGGTCTCCCTCTGGTGGTATACTTACTGAAGGCAACAATTCATTGCACAAATAGTGATACCTACTACATTATCATATGCATCATAAATTAGAAATAATACTCATTATTTATTTTTAATTTTAAAAAGAATGTTGTACTTATCCATTATTTATGCCAGGTTGTCTGTTAGAGATTGCTTTTAGCGATAAGGTCGCCTTTTGTATATGCACATTCTGTATAAATACTCCTTGTATACATCTCTATTGTGTGTAATAAAGAGTTTATTATTATTATTACTCAATTCAATAGTATTTTGTGTGTATCTTGCTATTGTTTTTTGTCCATTGCTGGACATAATTCTACCTCATAAAGGGGGCCTATGTTCAGCAGTGAACTCAAAAAATAAAGTTTCATGAGAACCTAAATAAAAATTATAATTATATACTTAATTGTGGCCTACCTAGACGACATCACTTTACCACAAGTAAAACATTGCTGCTTTTGAGTTTTTCTTCCATCAACAACATTCAAGTCTTCATTATTAGTATTAAGACCCAATAATTGGTTGTGTTTTATTTTTCTACTAACATCCCTTCCATCAATTATATTATTTCCATTTAATGATATATCATCAAGCTCATCAGATTTTTTTGCATAATTGATGTCACTCCTCATACTAGTCTTGTCATAATTTAACACTTCTACACTATTATCACATTGCACTTGATCACTGTTTTGAATATTTGTTAAAGACCTAAGTTTCAAATCTGAATTTTCACAGAGCGTAACAAACTGGATACATTTATCCAAAATTTTTACACATTTTGAACAAATAGTCTCAGGCAAGCCATCTCTAGGATATATCTGTAAAAATATAATTGTGAATTATAAACAAGTGATGATTATCTATAATTATTTATTTCAAAAACAATAATAAATCCATCTCTATGTAAAACTGAATCATGCCTCCAATTAAAGTCACTAAAACTACTCTTTGATTGCATGGGGTTTAAATATAAAAAAATATTTACAAAACTAATTCTGATGAGATCTGTCTTTGATTGCTAATCATGAAATCTGTGAAACTAGTGTCTACAAATTTGACATTCCACACTGGCAAAGTTCTTGCAAAATTCTTCTAGCTTAGTATATTAACATTTACATATATATAAATATATGTAAATGTTAATATACTAAGTATTATTTGACTAATAAATATAAATGTATACATTGATATTAAAACTTACTAATAATAAGTACTTACTTGAATATTAGCCAAAGACATTATTTTCATGGCAATTGTAGAAGTACCATGTAACAGAAAAATATTATTTAGCAGTTCACCTTCATGTAAGCATATACGACATTTTTCCTTAGCCATCGATATACCTAAACTATATTGTTTATATAGTATGTAAAATAGGATTAATATAAATTAACTAACTAAACAAGATAATTAAATACTACTTCATTAAAACTTATTATAATCAATGTGCACTGTGATTATAAACACCACAGATAAAATACTCTTACAAATTAATATGTATCTAAGTACGTTAGACATTGACAGGATACTAATACGTCATATATTCGCCAATTAATGTCATTGGAATCTTTTTTTTTTTTTTTTTTTTTTTTTTTTTTTTTTTTTTTTTTTGTGGCGTTCACCCCGATATTAGGGTATTTTGCCAAGAACAAAACGGGGAAACGATAATAGTAATAAAAATACCTAACACAAACGAATTTAGAAAGGATAAGGATTAGGTCTAGGATATTTATAGGATATGAAACATATACTTGTACATATGAGAATATACTTATAAATATATAGGAAAAGCAATTGATGCAACTATAAATGTATTCATGTAATATAACTAAATCTTAATATTGTTATCATATATATATGAAGATAGTATTTTATAGATAATAGGATCATTGGAAGAAAGTAGAGTAAGAATAGAAGTTGGGAATGGAACACGGATGGATCGGAGATGATTAAAAAGGGAGGTGTGGTCAAATTTAGAACATGAGAAGAATATATGATTCAAGTCCGCCACTTCAGCACCGCAATTACACGACGAACTTTGTACAATACCAAGCTTATATAAATGAGAAGGTGTGCATACGTGACCTAGACGCATACGAGTTATAATAGTTGTTGCGGTCTTTCCAAGCTTTAATTTACAAAACCATGGTTTGAAAGGAATATCGGGTTGTATAAGGCGATAAAATCTTCCTTTTATTGTACTTGTTTTTTCCCAATATTCCTTCCAGGCATACCTTAAATATATTTTTGGGAGACAAGCCAGGTCACTACAGTAATTATGATACGGATACATATCACCACAAGTTACAGCCTCTCTTGCAATAAGGTCAGCTTTGTCATTGCCGCTAATACCACTGTGTCCTGGTAACCAGGCAAAAGAAACGGAATACCCTCTCAACATGCAAAGATAAAGACCTTGTCTTATATCACAAATAATGGGATAAACTGGTTTTGATTTAAACGGATATTTGGCTAGAGCTTGCAAAGAGCTCATAGAGTCAGTGAAAACTATTGCCTTATGTAATTTCATTAAAAGTATATATTCTACAGCTTTTAAAATACCATAACATTCCCCGGTAAAAACTGAAGACTCCGGTGGAAGTTTAATTTTTTGAACGATATTAAATTGTGAATGAAACACACCCACACCAACACAACCGCTATTGTCTGGTTTTGATGCATCAGTAAAGATGTAGTGCCATTCATTCCATTCAATGTCAGTTATAAACATAAATTTGGCATTCAATTCTGAATCATTTTTTGATAACCCAAAATCATATTTAATATTAGGAGATAAAACTAAAGATTGATATGAGCATTTATAAATGGGAAAACAGGACGATGTAAAAGTGGGAGATTCTATGGATTTATATTTTTCATAACTTTGTATTAAACATGAAGGTTTTTTATGTTTCCAATAAGATGAAGACGAAATAAAGATATGTAGTTGAGATAACTTTTGAATAAGCGGATGATCAGATAATTGTAAACAACGAAAAAAGAAGCGATCAGATAGATATTGCCTTCTTAAAACCAAAGGTGGATCACCGACTTCGAGCTGTAAAGCATTGATTGGACTTGATTTCATTGCTCCAGAGATAATCCTCAAGGCCTTTGATTGAATTAAATCCAATTTCTTAAAAGCAAATGAACTTCCTGGAGCTAACAAAAAAGTTCCATAATCAATGACACTCCTTATAAGACCATTATAAGCAAGTTTTAGTGAAACGGGATGTGCTCCCCACCAAACTCCAGCAAGGCACCTAAGAATGTTGAGGTTACGCTCACATTTCGTGGAAATATAATTACAGTGGGACAGACCTGTTAATTTATTATCTAGCACGATACCTAAAAATTTAATTTCAGTCTTTATAGGAATGTATGAGTTATCATAAAGCACCTTAATTTGTTGCGGTGATCTCATTCTTGAAAACAAAACTACACTACTCTTGGTTACAGAAAGATTAAGACCATTTGCATCTAACCACGTTTTTAACAAATCTAATGAATCAGATAATTTGGCAGAAGCAGATTCTATGGACTTCGCAATAAAATATAATAAAAGATCATCAGCATATTGTAAAATTTTGACGGATTTATCAAGGAATAATTCTAGATCGTATGTGTATATGTTAAATAAGATTGGACTAAGAACAGATCCTTGTGGAAGGCCTTTCCATACAGTTCTAGATAATTTGGTATCTTCATCTAAATCCATATGTATTGTTCTTTCTGATAAAATATTAATAATGAAATTAGAAAGCATTACCGGTACATTTAGAGCTTGTAATTTAGTTTTTAAAATAGAAATTATTACATTATCATAGGCAGAATTTATATCTAAAAAGGCTGAGAGGATTGACAAATTTTGTGAGAAAGCTATATGAATATCTGAAATAAGAATGCTCACATTATCTAAGGTGCTCTTACCTTTCCTAAAACCAAACTGGTTCGGGGATAGTAAGTTATTACTTTCTAAAAACCATTCTAGACGGTTTTTCACTAAATGTTCAGCTAGCTTTAGTAAGACAGAGGAAAGTGCAACAGGACGGTATGAAGATGGTTCAGAAGGTGGTTTATGAGGCTTTAGAAATGGTATAATAATCTGAGACTTCCATGAAGTAGGTATATTTCCCGAAATAATTATGGAATTAATTATATTTAAAAAGTAAATTAAAGTCGCATCGCTAGCATTTTTAAAAAAGGAATACGGTATACCGTCTTCTCCCGGTGCAGAGTCTTTAATAGAAGCTAGAACACCTTTAAGTTCTACTAGAGTAAAAGGAGAGTCAAGTTCGAATAATTCGTCAGAGACGGATAGAGAAATATTGTAAAGGCATTCCGGCACATAACTAGGAGCAAGGCGATCTAAAAATTTATTCGCTAAAGTTAAATCGAGTGCAGAACGTGATGTATGATCACTAAAGGCAGATCTGAATCTTTTAATATTATTCCAAACGACTGATGAATTAACTTCTGGACAGATAGAAGAACAAAATCTTCTCCAGCCTTCTAATTTCTTTTTTTTCAGTAGTTTTCGAGTAGAACGTGAAACTGCGGTGTAAATTTCAAAATTTTCTGTTGTCATGTAATTATTATAATTTTTTTCAGCCTCTTTACGATTTTTAATTGCTTCCGTACAATCTTTGTCCCACCAAGGTGGGGAGGGAATTTTCCCTGAAGCACTATTTTTAACAGGAAATAATAAATCAGCAACCTCCTTCATATTTATCATCAAGTCATTACAACATTGATGTTCATTTCCATGGTAAACAATAGGTAACTCCGATATTTTATTATCTAAATATTGTTTGTAAATATTCCAGTCTACATTTGATAAATTATATTTAAGCCGAGGACCACTCTTTCGACTTGAAGGAATGGAAATTGGAAAAGAAAGAATGAGGGGAAAGTGATCGCTTCCGAAGGTAGAGGAATGAGGATACCACGACAGTGAAGAAGCTAAATCAGAAGAACATATTGAAATGTCAGGAGCACTAAACCCTTCATTTGGTGCAGTTCTACGTGTTGGTACATCTGAGTTAATAATACATAAGTTGTAAGTGTCAATTATCGTCAGGAGTTTTCCACCATAAAAATTAGAAGTAGAACTGCCCCACGATTGGTGCTGAGCATTAAAATCGCCCATTACGAGAAAAGGTTTAGGTAAAATTGAAAATAATTGTTCTAGTTGTGAATATATTTGGCATGTAGGATCAGGAATATATAAAGTAACAAAACAGATACCATTTATAATTATAGCAGCTGCATTAATGCCGCTATATACAGGAAGCGAAAAAGAAGAAAAAGGAAGGGAGTTTTTGACCAATATGGCAACACCGCCATATCCGTCAGCTCTATCATCACGGAGACTTGTAAAGCCTGAAATCCTAAAAGGATATCCTGGCTTTAACCAAGTCTCTTGGAGAGCTATTATAAAAGGATTATATTTATTAATTAAATAAAATAAGTCTGATTTCTTGTTTGTTATGCTACGACAGTTCCACTGAATTATTAGGACTTTGTAATCCATTGTGAGAAGTTAATAATTGAGAAAATACATTGTAAATGGCATCGTTGGACGGTGGTAAAGTTGTTTGTATCATTTTCGATTGCGATAACACTTTAATAAGCATGAGAATAATATCAAAGATGGATTGATTATTGTCAATATTATTTGATGATAATGCACAACCATTAGAGGGAGCAGGAATATTATATTCCTTAACTATGGCTTCATGGGCAGAACGATCATATCCTTGTTGTGCTTTTTGAGGAGAGCGTGGTTTAAGTGTAACTGTTTTTTTATATGATGATTGAATATGTGGTAATGATGATTTCTCTTTAAGGAAAGAAGATTGAAAATGAGATTTATTGGACGGAGATGATGATGTTAATACATCTGAATATAGTTTAGAAGTGGGAGGATGAAATTTTGATGCTTCAGCATAAGAAACACAACTGTGGGCCATTGTTTCTTTAATGGCTTTCTGACGTGCATATTCAGGACATTTCTTACTAATTGCTGAATGAGAACCATTACACAAGATACAAGAAACATTTTCCTCATCTACTTCACATTTATCACCTGTATGATTTAGCCTGCATTTATAACATCGAGGATTTGAACGACACTGCATCTTGACATGTCCGAACCTACAGCAGTTATAGCATTGGATAGTGGGGTAAATGTACAAATCTACAGTTAATGATGTGTAAAACATAAATACTCTTTTTGGTAATATTTGTCCATCAAAAGTAATAACAATGGTTTCAGTATTAATAAAACTTGGTTGTCCTTCATTAATGGTCTTTTTCTTAATTCTTCTGGTTTTTAGAATTCTCCCACAACCTATAGGTACTGATATATTTTGGATTACTTCCTCTTCTGTCCAATCTTTAGGAATACCCCTCACAATTCCCATACGGGTTACATGGAAAGAAGGTATAAATGCCTTAAAATTATGTGTTTCTAAGTGACTATTATTTAAAAATGCATTTGCATTTTCAAAATTTGAGAAAGAAAGCGATAAACGGTTTCTTCCTATTCTTTTGAGGCTACCATTCACTATATTATTTATCTTATTAGTGTGTAAAAAGCGACCAAATGCAATAGGATGTAATGTAGTGTTATCATTAGGATGTGTTTCATTTTTTTGTACATGAACGACATAAGGAGCTACATCCTCGGCATTGTACAAAGTTCTGCTTAAAGTACTGGGTGGAGAAGCAGGTTTAACAGACTCGGTATTATTTACAACTGGTATTGATACTTGAGTTTGATTCTCATCCTCAATACATTGACAATCACTATCTTTAATTTTAGATTCGAGACCTTTGGTGTGCCTCCTTCGTTTTTTATTGCAATGTTTGCAAATGCGACGTTCGCCACGTACTCGCTTACGTTTAGAACTTGCAACGCTAGAACCATCTGTGTCCATACTAGATTCACCCAATATATCAAAACTATTATTAAATGGGATAGTTATATTTGCAGACACCTGGGGGGTTGTCCCCCCAGGGTCTATAGGTGGATCCATAATGTCTAGTTAATATAGGTAATTTACTTACCAATATTTACAGCAACAAACACTATTACTACAAAATATACAATTATATATACAATCTAATACACAATATATAAATAAGACTAATCCTTATATAATTAAAAATAAAATTAATTTAAAGAAGATCAAAAAACACTCCCGCTTTTTTAAACGTTTCCCGCGCTTTTTTCCATTGGAATCTTCTTCATACATACATATATTCAATTGTATCTGTCATGCCTGTCTCACATAAAGAACCTTTTTCAAAATTTAAAAAATAAATAGTTACCATAGTCTCTCTAATCTGTGATACTTACCTACTTTTAGGAACTTACTGTGTTATATCATATCTAAGAACAAGGAATTACATAGAAGGAATGATAAAACTTTAAATTATATGGTTGTCTCCTTTCTTCTTATGTAAATATAATTAGTAAAAAGAGGACGAAGGATATAACATCAGTTGCTATATTTTGCAATTCATAGCAGGCTAGTATATAAAAAATGTGTATGTAAAATTTTTGTTCATTTTGATATGTCAATGACAAATTTTACATTATTGAATTATATATTCACAGTTTATGTAGAAAGTATACAAGCAGGTTGAATCTGAGTTTGGTAGGTTTATATGGCCGTATACATTTTCTATATCCTATCCTATTATGAATTGACAAAAATAGCTACTGATGGTGTATCTTTCGTCCTCTTTTTACTGATTATATTTGCATAAGAAGAAACGAGGCAATTATATGATTTCTAGTTTTTATTTTGTCATTCCTTCTATACAATTCCTTGTTCTTAGTTCAGTAGTAGTCGTTGATGTATGAGTCGATACGAACATAGCCGAGTCGACTCGGTCGTCAGAATGTTTTAATTTTTTAATGGAGAGTGAGTTAAAATTAGTAAAAAGTACCAATTTTCAATAAAAGTACAGTTCTTATAGGAAATTATGAAAGTATCTCAACACGTATAATAAAATTGATATTTCGGTACTGAGTAGCTGTTTTATTTATTTATTTTCTTAATCGTCGTCGTTTATATTAAGATGGTAATATAGTAGCAATGGACAAGACAAGGACAAACAAACTTTGTTGTAATTAGTTAATAATTAGTTAGTAAAATCATTCGAATACGGAAATTAGTATATTACTTATTTAATAGTCGAATTGCAAAATTAGTAATTATTACTAATTATTCGAATAACAAAATCATTCGGATTCGCGCATCTCTACAGTCGCGTCATCGGCGCTCGCCGGCATTCGTACGAGAGTGCTCCTAGAGAACGGTCGTGCGTTTTGTGCGCTTAGCTTAGCTACCCGTCACCAATCGTGGTTATCGTATAACTTAAAGTGATCTCGTATATCTACAGTATACTTGTATATTGTTTACGCAATTTGTACTGAACAGTGTTTACTTGTTCTACAGTGGTTGTTAACAGTGTATTTTGCCACTGTCAAAGTTTTACCTTTCAAACTACACTTGCAATATTTTGTCTAATTTGCTAAAGACATGGCGTATTACCAAATGTCAAAATGCAATTCTAAACATTTTTCGGAAACTAAAGAGAAATCACACAAATATTTTGACAAGTATGATAGATCAAGAGATTATATAGTCTCAAAGTACAAACGAAAACATAACAGTGACCAAGAAAAAGACGACATTCATAAAAAAAGTGGATAACGAAAACATTGCAAACACATCTTGTGACCTTATAGATTCAGAAAATGAAGATACCATCATAGAACAAAATAGAAAACGTCGCAGAGAAATTTTGGAAAAATTTGTTACGTCGTCACACGATGACAAATGTGAAAGTGCCAAAAAAGACGAAAATATTGACGAAAGCGCTAGTGGCAATGATAAAATTGTTAATCAAATACGGTCACCTCGAATAAAAAGAGATATGTTTTCGGAGGACGATGATTTCGCCCCAATTAATGTTTTTTTTTTTTTTTTTTTTTTATACAACTTAGAATGGCAAACAAGCTGACGGCCCACCTGATGGAAAGTGGTAACCGTCGCCTATAGACATGAGCAGTACCATGGACATAACAGAGTATACTGTTTCGCCCATGATACCCCCCATGCGCTGCCATTCCTGAGGACTCAGGTGTTATTCCTCTGTACCCAGTAAATTCACGCCATATCCCACTCTTCAAACCGAAACACAGCCATGCAAACACAACTGCTTCACGGTTGAAACACGAATGGGACAGAGGTACCCAAGCAATCGACTTTTGTACAAAGTCTCCCTCTGGTAAACCTGTATGTCTCTGAACACGTGACACAAGATAATGAATACAATCCACAATTAATCGACAACTGGGACGATTCAGAAGAATATTATAACATGCGTGTTGGAGACATTATTGACAGTAGATATACAATAAAACGTATATTAGGTCAAGGTGTATTTGCAAGCGTCGTACGTGCACACGATAATAAAAACGGCAAAGAAGATGTTGCTATAAAAATAATAAGAAATAACGATCTCACGTATAAAAGTGGTTTAAAAGAATCGTCATTTTTAAAAGAAATCAACGACGCAGATATAAATAATAGATACCATTGTGTGAAGTTTATTAGGCAGTTTATGCATAAAGGACATCTTTGTTTAGTATTGGAATCTTTGCACATGGACATGCGAGGTGTTATAAAAAAATACGGCAAACATGGTCTTGATATGAAAGTGTTGATGAGCTACAGTAGCCAACTAATGTTAGCTTTGCGACTTTTAGAGAAACTTGGTATTATACATGCGGATATAAAACCAGACAACATACTTGTAAACGAAAAGAAAAATACTTTAAAATTGTCTGACTTTGGTTCAGCATCAAAAGTAGAAGATAATGACGCCACGCCATATTTAGTGTCCAGATTTTATAGGGCGCCGGAAATAATATTAGGAATACCATACAAACATGGAGTGGACATCTGGTCAGCCGCATGTACAGTTTTCGAAATGGCAACTGGAAAAATATTATTTACCGGAAGCTCTAATAATGAAATGTTGAAATGTTTTATGGATTATAAAGGTGAATTTTCAGCTAAATTGATAAGAAAGGGTAAATTTAAAAATCAACATTTCAACTATAATAATAATTTCCTCCTTAATAAAAAAGACGAATTGACCGGTAGGGAAAGAGTAATTGAAATATGTAACACACATGCCACTAAAAATTTATACAGTGCACTTAAAAAATCGGCGAATTATTTAAGTTCACAAGATGATAGGAAATTGCGTCAACTGAAAGATTTCTTAGAGAGGATTTTAGTATACGATGCGCATCAGAGGATGTCTATTTTGGATTGTCTAAAACATCCCTTCATTCAAAAATAATTATATAAATGTTAAATGAAATTAAATAAATTGTAATGGAATAAATTAATAATTCCATAAAAGAAGGAAAAAAAGTGAGGGACTATACGTTCAATTTATAATATGGGTCGAAGAAATTCTGTTAAAGCAATTAAATGCTTCAACATGTCGAAATCTCATTTTTATATTCAGTTCATACGCTTATAATTTATTTCCAATGGGGAGATCTCAGTTTTTTATGGTCTTTGATCTAGTAAAGAATGTAATTAGGATTGTCGTTGATTCGTTCTCTTCCTTTCTGCGCTTAGACAATCGAGCATATCTCTGCAATTAAATTTAAATTATTCAATCAATTATAAATATACAATTAATTTCTGATATTGTTCAATCAAAATGCTCAAGTATTCAGCGCGTTTACAATACACAAGTCGGAATGGAGATTTTTATCCCCAACCCGCTAGTGGCAATGGGATTAAAGAAGCGTCTGTGGTTTAACCGGTCTTGTAAGGAAGCCATATTTTCTCTGCAATCTGCATACAAGGCTTGGACTGCTGCTCGCACTAACTCGGATCCTGGGATTACTGATGCAAAGCGGAAATCAAAACGCTGCTTCAAGTCACAGTATGAGAGTTATTGCCAGAGCTAAATTTGAATTTGTGGGCGAAATTGGTAGGCGACTATTAAGCCTTCCTTCTGGTAATCGTGCTATCTGGTCGCTTACCAAAGCCGCCCAAGGAAACTTTTTGTCAGTCGTCTTTTCCATCACTTCGGAAACCGAATGGTAACTTGGCCTACAATGCTAAAGAGAAAGCCGATCTATTAGGTAATCTCTTTTCCTCTAACTCGACTATGGACGAAGGTAATTCTACACCAACTACTATCCCGTGCTGTGGAAGCTCTATGTCGAAAATTACCATAACACAATGTAAAGTCCGGCGGGAGTTACTATCCTTAGATGTTCATAAGTCGAGTGGGCCAGACGGTATACCGGCAATGGTCCTAAAGCAGTGTGCTCCGGAACTATGTCCTGCACTAACGCGTCTCTTCACGATTTCGTACTCCACAGGGCAATTTCCTTCGACATGGAAGACCACCTTTGTACATCCTGTACCTAAAAAGGGCGATAAGTCGGACCCTTCCAATTACAGGCCGATAGCGATCGCCTCCCTTCACTCTAAGGTGATGGGGCGTATAATTAACGCACAGCTATTGAGATACCTAGAGGATCACGATTTATTGAGTGACCGCCAATACGGCTTTTGCCATAGTCGCTCAACTGGTGACCTCTTGGTACATCTTACGCACCGATTCGAGATGACGTGTACGATACGGGAAAAATAGTAAAAAAAAAAATCCAAAAGAAATAGAGATAAATCTCGGAGAAAGAAGAAATGGTTAGGTAGGAGGCAATGGTATCCTTTCACTAACGTGCAATGTCGCAGAGAGAGATTCAAGAAATGGGGAGAGAGAGAGATTCTCTTCGAAGAGGACGTAGCAGACGGTGACGTACTCGTATCCCGCCGTCGCGAACGGGACCTGAGGTGCTGGATACGAGGATGTCCGATGTCCACTAAATGTCTCAAATGGTGGGGGCGGTGCGCTCATGTTCCGGTGCATCGTTAAACAAAGGCCCAGCAAATGTGCCAGTTAAGTTCTCAAATGGCCGGTTTGCCTTAACTGGCGAGCAGCGGCAATAGTTGCGGCAACTATGCTACAAAGAAGCTACAGCTAATGGAACACCAGGGTGTTTTAGCCGGTAAGAGTCCGGTAATATCCACTTATCTCCCTCGGAGTGTGTGGGTCTGAGTGATTCATTTCCCCTCGACAAAAAAAAAACATAAGGTTACAGTGTAAGGAATCAGAGGGTGGAAGGGTGCAAAAAACCGGCTACTATAGTGGTGAACGATAAGAGTTCTGTAATTGGATGTAACGTATTAAAAGGTTTTATTTTTACTATTAAAATTCTAATAACTCAGGAGCCGCCTTGCTAAGTGCACCCGCATCCCACTCCTCTCGCCCTGCAATATTATACTAATCTGGGTCTGACGAGGCGCATCTACAGCTGTCCACTACGCAAATAAAGCCATCGCGTAGCGATGCACGACCTTACTAATCCGACTACTAATTATTCACCTGAGCAAATCATTCGGATTATTCGAATGATTTTCAAACCATTTGAATACTAATGTCGCCCGACTGCTAATGTCATTCACTAAGAACAAGGATAACAACGTACATAGAAGGAATGATAAAATAAAAACTGAAAATCATATACACTAGCCTGCTATGAATTGACAATCTTATCACTCCTATTTATCTTATAATTCTTGTTCTTTATATAATATTCTATCTAGCCACTCTATTTTTTTTATCTACCTGTCACAAGTTACATTCCACCACAGAGTATGTCTGTACTTTCAACTTTCACCAAAAAGTGATACAAACTTGTTCATGAACTAGACTAAGAAAATAATTATCATACCTTTAAATTATTTGTTATTGTCTTGTACCTGTTTTGTAATTCGTGGATCATTCTATACGTGCTCATTCAAATTAATTTTGGTTTTCTCTTTTCTATTTAATTTCTGTCACTTGTAAAAGTTTTTTTTAATAATGTCTCCCATAAAGCTTTATCATTTTCCTATCAGCGCTCCATCTCGAGGTGCGTTGCTTGCCGCTAGATCCATTGGCGTACCGATTGAAGTGGAGATAGTAGATTTATTTAAGAAAGAGCAACTTAAGGAGAATTTTCTAAAATTAAATCCTCAACACACTGTACCTACACTTGTTGATGATGGATTTGTGTTATGGGAAAGTCGTGCCATTGCCTGTTATTTGGCCGACAAGTATGGTAAAGATGACCTACTTTACCCCAAAGACTTGAAACGTCGTGCTTTAGTCAATCAAAGACTATACTTTGACAGCTCATCCTTGTATGTGAAAATTAGAGAAATTTTTGTATGTATATGCCATTTATTTTTAATTTTAATTCTATAATTTCTTTTTCCTCATACTATTGATCATTTTGATACCTTTTCTTTTTATCACATTTTTTTGCTTAATATAATTCAACTTCATTATATTTTCAGCGACCAATATTATTCCTTGGTGAAACAGAAATAAAGAAACCTTTAAAAGAAGACCTTAATATAATTCTAGGCTTTCTTGATGGATTCCTGAGGGAAAGTAAATGGGTGGCAGGTGATAATGTAACAATTGCAGATACTGCAATATACGCTTCAATGTCTTGCATTCTTGTAAGTTAGAGATTTTTTTTTGTCAAAGTCAATTGTCAGTAAAGTCGAATTCATTATAAATTTTTAATAATAAATTCCATATAAATTTTGTGCTTCTGGCAACGTATGCTTTACCTCTCCTGAAAATAAAGTTATTCTAACTCTTTTTATTATTATTCATGTCAATTATTGCATAAACTATCCTACACTTCAGGGTAAGAACTGTAAAATTTATTAATGTGTCAAAGAAAAATAGAAAATATTACAACTTTTTTCAACCAATCATTTCCATTTCTAGGCTGTAGGCTGGGATATTTCTGATTTCCCTAATATACAACGGTGGGTAAAAAATTGTGCTACATTGCCTGGTGCTGCAGAAAATGAGGAGGGTGCTAAAATCTATGGTGATGCTATAAAAAAGAATCTAAAGCAGTGAAACTGTTACAAAATATAACATAATATATTTTTTATACTTAATGTTAAACCTTACAATATACTTTTATAATAAAAGTTTTAATTATAGTTGAAAATATTTCTTTCACTTATAAAATTTCAACACTAGCTGGTGCTCATTTCTAACTCTTCGTTTTATGACCAATTCTGATTTATAACCATATATTTTCATAATCTCAACAACTTCATTTGGAATGTTTTCTTCAATCAATAAGAGGTAAAAGGTTCCATCCTCAGCTAACTTCTTTGGTATCATATTGAGTAATCTGTCTGTAACCTCTCGTCCCTTCACCCCTCCTGCCCAACTTGCTACTATATCTGTCCCCCCACACTCTTCTGTCTTTGTCACCACATATGGTGGATTAAATATTATGACATCAAATTTTTTATCCACAAAGAAACTAATGAGATCCATGTTTACAGGTTCCAACAATACATTATTATAATTAGCTGTAGTTGCGGACATTTCGCAAGCTTTAAAATTTATATCTGTACTTATGCAAAAAGTGTTTGGAAATGCCATTCCAAAAGCAGTAATGACAACACCACTACCTGAACCAACTTCTAAGCAAAATGTGGGGTTTTTAACTTTTAAATAATGTAGGTCCTTTTCTAACGCATCAATCAGCAGAAAGCTATCTTCAGCTGGTTCATATACATGGTCAAAATCAGCCTTATCAATGTGGTTCTGGTATGGAGTTTTCATTTTAGTTGATGCTGCCATGGTCTGGTGCCACTCCACTTGTGCTTTGTTCTGGTTCCTGTGGTACAAGTTCTGGCATAACAGCTGTACGAATTCCTTTCTCTTTATTAACCATTCGTCTTATTTCATTAAGTCTATCCTAAAAAAATAAATAATACACAGGTACTTATTAATACTGTATTAATTATATAATTTGGTGTAATTATAATATATTGTGATATAATTTGATAAATATATATTTATTTTAAGGCTAAAACTGTCCACATAAGTGCCTTCTACTGGAGCTGTAACTGATTGTTTTTTTTTTACAGTATACAAAAAATATTTGCATTATAATTAAGTACTTAAGTGTATATAAATCATGAATAGGATTCTATCCCTCCCTCCCTAGATCCCTAGATCTACTTTCTGCTCATTTATTATCTTTATACAAGTTTGTTATACTACAATTTTTGTCAAGTTCAATTTCAATTAGAATATTTATTATAATGGCAATTAGCTTTACTATTATTTATCGAAAATAAATGAAATATTTACTGTTATTGATCTGAATATTTCATCATCATTTCAATAAATTAATTGTAATCAAATTTTATAATTTAGTACATATTGTTTTATGTGACTGAAATAAAGCTTTGTACATTTTAATAGAGAATTTTAGCATGTTTCTGCCAATTTAATAATTTAAAAATACATATTCTATTTTAATTTACTTATTTACAATTTGTGTATGTTTTATTTACATTATTTTTACCTGTACCTTTCCTGCACTAGATTACTCGCTAATTAATTATTTACTCTCTAACTACACTGGGTTGGCTGGAAGAGATCTCTTCTCGAGATAAGCCCTTCCTTGATAACAAGTTGTTAAACTAATGGCTGTATCTATTGTTCAAGTGCAATAAAGAATATATAAATGTATACCAATATTATAGAAAGAAAGATTTGATTGTTTGTAATATATAAACTCAAAACTACTTATTTGATTAAAAAAATTCGTACATCTATAGAAAACTACATTATCAGCAAGTAACATAGGCATATTTTCTAAAATATTATCTACTTATGTGAAGTCAGGTCAAACTGCTACATAATATGTTTCTGTTTTTTTTTGGTTATTAATTAATTATTTATTGTTAACCATGAGACAAATATAAAAACTGATATTATGTATTGCCATTTCAAAAAATAAAATCCCTACTAATATTAATCTTTAAACTTTCACACTGCATGTTTTATAAGAGCTGGGAATATGATAGTAGACATGTAGCACTGTCATGCCTCCACTTCCAAGACTGAATTATTTTTTCTACCAATTCAATGTTCTATAGTTACTAATATTATAAATGTGAAAGTAATTTGTTTGTTACCTTATAGCACCTTATTGACTTAATCAATTCCTATACAATTTGCTATAAACATATATGGAATAAAGAAGAATATAGGCTACTTTTTATCAGTAAATATATCTTGGTGATGTGGATGAAGTTGTAGGTAAAACCAATTATTACTATAAATTTTATATTAATTCTTTACTAACTTGTGAGGCTTGCAATACATTAAGAACCACAGTTACTTTGTGCTTGCATGCAATCAATTTTTTCACATAAGGGTCCAAATCAGGGTGATTGTTCACTGCCTCTCGCACCTTCTGCAATTCCTCATTCAATGAGTCTATTTGTTGTTTCAGTTCTAATTGAGATATTCTGAAAAATATATTTAAGTACAGTTTACTAATTTGCAATATTTTTTTTATATTTTGTACAGTATATTAGGTTTAGACGATGGAATATATTTCATTTAATTAGTAACATTTAAAAACATAACATGATCTATATAGTAGTATCCCAAGAATGCTATGAAGTTTGCGAAAACACTATGTAATGACATACAACTATATAATCCATTTACTCTTAACAATCACTTCCCTACACCTGCATTTTGGTACTAAGCAATTTTAAAAGAAATTTCCTATTAACTTTGCATATAGATTTTGATAGTTCTTTCAGCAATCAGATGGATCCCATTACTCCCATATTATTTCCTTATTTATTCCAACACAATTGAAGCACAGTTTCCTTTGCAAAGCAAAACCCTGTGAAAAAGATTAAGTCAGCCTTTTGTACTACATTTTATTGATCAATGAAGTTTAAATAAATAAGAGCCAAATCTACTTCTACACCATGATTCTGTATTTTCAACCTAAATATGTAATGTGATAATAAAATAATCCCACTGTTACATGAGTTTTGTTTTAATGTAAGAATAGAGAGATACCTACCTACTAAAAAATTCAACTTTAATGGTGATAAAATTAATAATGACTGTAACTATTGCACATAATAAATTTACTGTTCATTATCATAGTTGTGAATTTAGTGAATTTTAAAACAATGATATAAGAGAATTCATTTTAGTAATAACACCTATCATACCTATTTCAGTGATACATACTATTACTATTAGTTAATTTTAAACTTTCATATTGTTTACTCATATTTTAAAATAAAAAGCTTTTAAAGGTAAATATTATCTATACCTGCTATTTCATTGCTTTATTATTGAAAATTTCAATAGAGAAGATGGATATAGGGTTTCATTAGCATGGAACTCGGTGATTAGTACATTAAGAACACATGATAATTTGTTTAACTGCGGTGTCGACATAGTGAGTGCGGTGACAGGCGGCTCTAAATAATTACGGTAATAATGTGAGGATAACTGAAGAAACTGGGCGAGCTGTCTTTATTTTTAATATACCACTGAGGTGGCAAACAAGCATAAGGCCCACCTGATGGTAAGTGGTTACCATAGCCTATGAACACCTTCAATACCAGATGTATTACACGTGCGTTGCCGACCCTGAAGAAACCTCTTTACCCCCCTTTTGAAGAATTCCATGCTGTAGTCTCTTGGGAAAACCTCGGCAGGGAGCTCATTCCACAACCTGAGTGTTCATGGGAGGAAATATCTTTGAAACCGCGCAGTACGCGACCATTGAGGCTAACGCTACAATAAAACATACTTTAGTTTCAATTACCTGGTAGCTCTAACTCTGTCGTCAAGCTGGTCAATAGTAGGTTTAAGTAACCCCAACAAACCTTCCGCAAGTGTATCACGTGTTGGATTGTCACACAAATTACCAGTGTTTTCATCAGCAGACGTAGTTGTGCTCTCAGTATCGTCCATAATGTTGTTAGCAATTAGAACGGTGACAGCTTCATTTTAATCATGAGACTTTATATTAATAGAAATAAAAATTGAATAGAATGAAAAGATTTCAAATCTTTCTGGAAATTAGAGCGCTATGGTATAAATGAGCGATGGATTTAAATAGAATAAAAATGAAATGACGAAAGAAAATGTAAAAGATTAAAACCTATCTGACACTGACACTAAAAGTTTCACAGTAACAATCACAGATGTATGTAAAAACCACAGACATTAATGAAGCATACAGCTAAGAACAAGGTATTACATAGAAGGACTGATAAAATAAAAACTTTATTTTATATGGTTGCCTCTTTTCTTCTTATACAAATGTAATTAGTAAAAAAAGGACGAAACATATACCATTTTTTCTTTTTATGCAAATAAAATTAGTAAAAAGAAGACGAAAGATACACCATCAGTTGCTATTTTTGTCAATTCATAGCAAGTTAGTGTATAGAAAATGTTATACGGTCGTATAACCCTACCAAATTCAGATATAACTTGCTTGGATACTTTTTACATAAACTGTGTCGAATATATAACCTAGTAATGTAAAATTTGCCATTATCAAACATTAACTGTACACCAAATATATTTTTATATATTTAAATCAAAAGTAGGGGGAGTCCGGAAGATTTGCCCTTTCGAAATTGTATTTAAATTTAGCGCAATCAAAACGTCAATACGTTCATTGGTCCAATACGTTACGTACGTTATGATGTCAAATGAAACTTTTAAGCGTAGAGATAATTTGGATAAATAGCGCCTTAGAATTGATCCCATTGCCAACAAATATGCAATTTTCAACTATTTCAATTTGTTAAAAAAAATAGTGTAGACATAGTTATCTATGAAGTAGACAACAAATTGTTTTTGGCTGTGGGGCCTGATGTGACATTTCTGACAGGACGCTATCGTTTGAATTTTATGGGATTACGAAATATTGTTTTTGTATCTTGTACTATATTGTTTTTAATTTTTATTACTAGTTATTTACATTAACAATCAATCATTAGTTATTTTAGGTTTAAGTACATTTGTGGAAGTTGTATCTACAGTATAATTAAAAGTTCAAACAGTGCTTGTTTACAAGACATTACAAAGCATTACAGTGAAATAAAAAATTAATAAAATGGAAAATCGGGTATCAAATGCTCAAATGGATGATCTTCTGGAATATTTAGAGTCACATCCAAAAATGATTAATACCGTCGGTCTAACATTGAAATCGAAAGACGCGGTGGATCGTGAATGGGAGAATTTAGCTCGAAAATTAAATGCACATGGAATAGGAGCCACGAAAACAGGGCATCGTTGGAAAAAGGTGAGGTTTAATATATTTAATATTTCAGAAGTAAATGACATAATTATAAAACATGTTTGTAACACTGAAACCGACCAACTAATTGAGCACGTCCAAATGGCTACAGATTCCCTGCTTGAGCAGATTCCTTCCGCTGAAGTCGTGATTGTTGGCGACTTTAATGCCCACCATGCCGAATGGCTTGGTTCGCGTACAACCGACTATGCGGGAAGATCTGTTCATGACTTTGCTTTGGCTTATGGTCTGACACAGCTTGTTTCCTCGCCTACGCGAATCCCTGATGTGTTGGACCATTCACCTTCACTGCTGGACCTTCTGCTGACCACCCACCCAGACAACTATGTGATCTCCGTCGAAGCCCCGCTTGGATCGTCGGATCACTGTTTGGTGCGGAGCGAAGTGCCTCTTACGAGTCCGACTCCACCTCGTTCTACGGGTAGACGTCGCATTTGGCACTACAGGTCGGCAGATTGGGATGAGATGCGGATTTTTTTCGCATCTTACCCATGGAGGCAGGTTTGCTTCACACTGGATGATCCCGACGCCATTGCCGATTCCATTGCTGATGTGGTGCTTCAGGGAATGGAATTATTTATTCCTAACTCTGTGGTGCCCGTCGGCGGGAAATCCCAGCCCTGGTATGGAGCCTCCTGTAGAACAGCATCTCGTCTGAAACAGGAGTGCTTCCTAACCTGGGCTAAAGGTGTGGCGTCGCGAGATCCTAACACCAGTGCTCTTAAAAAGAAGTATAACTCTGCCTCTAGGTCTTTCAAAAGAGTTATAGCCACAGCGAAGTCAGAGCATATTAGTAGAATTGGCAAGAGACTGGCTAGTTTGCCCTCTGGGACTCGAGCTTTCTGGTCTCTTGCCAAAGCTGCACAAGGGAATTTCTGTAAGTCATCTTTTCCACCTTTGCGCAGGGAGGATGACTCGTTGGCCCAGAACGCTAAAGAAAAGGCCGATCTTCTTGGATCCATCTTTGCGTCAAACTCGACATTGGATGACGGGGAGAAACCACCACCGACCATCACGTGTTGTAGGAGCTCTATGCCTGACATTAAATTCACGCATAGCTCAGTGCGTAGAGCACTTTTCTCCCTCGAAATCCATAAGTCGAGTGGGCCTGATGGTATTCCTCCAATTGTGCTTAGGACGTGCGCACCAGAGTTGGCTCCGGTTCTTACGCGTCTTTTTCGGCTTAGCTACTCATCGGGCATAGTCCCAAAGTTTTGGAAGACTGCTCTGGTGCATCCGATCCCTAAAAAGCGAGATCGCTCAGATCCAGCTAACTATAGGCCCATAGCTATCACTTCCTTATTCTCGAAGGTTATGGAATCCATCATTAACCGTCAACTGCTCCGGTACCTAGAAGAGCACCGGCTGATCTGTGATCGCCAGTATGGCTTTCGACAGGGACGTTCGGCCGGTGATCTTTTAGCTTACTTAACACACCGATGGGCAGTGGCAATCGAGAGTAAGGGAGAGGCCTTAGCAGTTAGTCTGGATATTGCGAAGGCCTTTGATCGGGTGTGGCATAGAGCGCTGCTTTCAAAGCTACCTTCATTTGGGTTGCCTGCGAGACTGTGCATTTGGGTCGCCAGTTTTCTCAAGGAACGTAGCATTAAGGTCGTAGTCGACGGTGCATGCTCTGATTTAAAACCTTTGAATGCTGGTGTCCCGCAAGGCTGTGTACTATCTCCGACTCTGTTTCTTCTGCATATCAATGATATGTTACAGATAAGTAATATTCATTGCTATGCGGACGACAGTACAGGAGATACATTATATACCGGTCATGCAAAGATCTCGCGGGCACATACCGATGAGTGCCGGAATAGACTTGTGTCTGAAATCGAAACTTCACTCCATCAAGTTTCGATCTGGGGTGAACAAAATCTTGTCCAATTTAACCCTAAAAAGACACAAGTCTGCGCGTTTACCGCAAAAAAGACGCCGTTTGTCGTATCTCCTCACTTTCAGGGCACTTCCCTTGATAAAAAGTCAAGTCTAGGAATTCTGGGCGTTGATATATCTTGCGACGTCCAGTTTTGCGGTCATCTGGAGGAGAAGGCTAAGATAGCTTCCAAAAAGTTAGGAGTGCTCAATAGGGTGAGACGATATTTCATGCCAGAACACCGCCTGAAATTATATAAAGCCCAAGTCAGGCCGCATATGGAATACTGTTCTCACCTGTGGGCAGGAGCGCCACAGTACCAACTCCTTCCGTTAGACCGCATTCAAAGTCGGGCGGCTCGAATTATCGATAGTCAACGCCTTACTGTCCGACTTGACCCATTGAAACTGCGCAGAGATGTTGCGTCTCTGTGCATCTTCTACCGAATTTATCATGGGGAGTGTTCTGAGGAATTGTTCGGATTGATACCTGCTGCTGATTTTCACCACCGTACAACCCGCCACAAACTAAAGTTTCATCCCAATCATCTGGACGAGTGGCGGTCTTCCACCGTGCGTTTTTCAAGGCACTTTCTTCCACGCACAACCATTCTTTGGAATCAACTTCCAGCAGCAGTATTTCCGAACCGATACGACAACATAACCTTCAAGAAAAGAGTATATTCCTTTTTAAAAGGCCGGCAGCACACCTGCAATGCCGCTGGTGTTGTGGGTGATCATGGGCGGCGGTAGTCACTTACCATCAGGTGAGCCGCATGCTCGTTTGCCCCCTGTGTTGTAAAAAAAAAAAAAAAAAAAAAAATGTTTTATAATTATATTTTTATTTATGTTTTATTGTACTTAGCATATATATAAACAATTAAAATTTTCGTTTATCTGATTTAATAATTTAACTTGAAGTTTGATACACAGTGGATTTCATTTATTATGACCTTGGTTGTAGCGATCATTTATATGCCTATAGCAACGTTAAATCTAAGTCCCTTGAATTTAAAGCATACTTTAGTACAAAATTCATGTGGCTATAGTGACTTTGGATATAATGCCGAGTTCGGGTGTAACAACTGTTTTTAATGAATCATTTGTAACAAATTCCTAGAAGTCCCATGCAGATATTGCGACCGAAGTTGGCTGCTAAAGAGACAAGATTTCTTTTTTTCACAAACATTTCTAACCTTTTGTTTACATCTACACAGATGGTCAGCAAGTATGGAGACCTTTACCTGTTGTTTATAGATATCAGCTACGTAGGTAGGGAAGCATGTACATTTTGGAGTTAAATTTATGGTCAGTTACAAAGTGATATTCTGAGTAGCCACTGAGTTTAGTAAACTTTTGGATAAGTATGACTGTCTTGACGCACATTCACTATTAAAGAAAAGGTGGAAATCATTTCTTAATTGAAAGATGGTGAAAACAATGTTGATTTGTGTGAAGAAAAAACTATACATGTGTACTTGTCTGTATCTCTTTACTTTTGCCTGTAACTACTTCTGGATATAACGACAAAAATAGAGAGAGTGGTCCCTTCATTGTCGTTACACCCGAAATCCACTGTATATCGTAAATTACTATTATGACTTTATGTAGTTATTTTTGTGGGCCAAGCTATGAGAGACAGCCAGTATATAATAATTTTTTAACAAATTGAACTTGCTGGTTTGATGTTTGGTTATATCTTTCAGAATAAAACCAATAAATAATTATTATGGGGAACACACCTCAATCTTATAATACTCATAATTTCATATGTGTTAATTGTAATATTTTTTTAAATATATAATTTTAAATCTTCAATTATTTCTCTGTCCTTAGTATTGGATAGACCTTAAACATAAGGTGAAGACCAGAGCTGCAGCAAAAAGGCAAAATAGCAAAACAGTTTCTTCATATGAAGAATGTTTATCAAAGTCAGATAGAAAAGTCCTGAGAATACTGGAAGAGTATGACAGTCAGCAAACGGATCCTTTTTTTGTAAGATCATTAGAATGTATTAAAATGCATGTTAATAAACAACAATCTTTATAAACAACATGCTAATTCTCTGCAATAACTATTTATGAATATAATATAATAATTTATGTGTGCACAAAACTGATTACAATTTTTGTTTGTACTATGATGGTGACAAACAAACATGGCCCATCTGATAGTAATCAGGATCACCATAGCGTATGGATGCCTGTGACACCAGGGAAGTCATATGCACAGTGTTGACTCGTAAGAAACTTTATAAGGTGCTTTATAAAGAATTTCATGCTATAGTCTCTAGAGAAAACTTCGACAGAAATCATTTCATATTTGTAGGAGTCCTTTGAATTCTGTGCATCATCAATCATATTGATTTCATGGTGTGAAAATAAATTATGGTAAAACCAGTTATTTTGATTTAAAAATAATCTACTGAACCAATTTTGGTAAGATGTATATGAAACCAATCTAAAAGTATATGCTTTCAGATATAATATAATCCCAATTGGATTATTATTAACAAAATTATGAGGCAACAAACATAAAAAAATATATAACTGGATTGAGAACCTCCTTTATATATATATATATATATATATATATATATATATATATATATACACACATATATATATATATATATATATATATATATACATATATATATACATATATAAAAAGGAGGTTATATATATATATATATATATACTGTAAATTCTTTCTTCTTTTTCTTCTTTTCATTTATGTGATAAGTAATTTTGAAGTTTTTTAGAAGGCAGTGAAATAATTCATTATTGTTATGTATGAAAATAATGGGTAATTTGATTATGTCAATTGATGTGGGTACCTGTATAATTGTTATGACAATTAAAATAGTTTTGCTTCCAATCTCAACCAAGTTGTAGCTTTTAATTATAACATGCAAACATACATTCTTTTTTGAATAAGTTTGGCACAGGTAGTTAAAAGGTTGATAAATACAAGTGGCAATTAAAAGATTAATAAATAATAATTATATATATTTCTAGATATCAAGTGCTTTTACCTACGAACTGCCACAGCCAGTGTTGAATGAAGGAGATCTCCCGGGTAATCTATTTACATTAGTAGTGCATCCAAGCATGCCTTCTAATTTTAATTACAAATATAATAATATCATTCCCATAATGATAACATCATTATGGGAATGAGACTAGACTACATTGACTGAGTGAGAGAGTGATTGAGACTATAATTTTACAATCAACATAAATGTGTGAAACATCATTGGATCTTGGTAAATTTTTATGTTAAGAGGGTTTATACTGAAACTTACAACTTGAAACTTACTTATGTGACAATGTCAGAGTTATCTGTTAATTCTCTTTTACAAGCAATCTTCAATAATTTGATGGATTATTTAAAAAGTATTCTGATAATGAACTAAAATTAAAGTTGCACATAAACCTACTAAGAGTTTTGTATGTTCATCTTATTTAATATTGAAATATTTTTTTTATCCTATAAATTTATTGCTATAAAAATAAAAATTTTTAGTGACAGCCTTATGAGATGCATGATTGATATTTTGATTGGCAAAGAGAACACTTTTTAAGTAATTAATTAAAAATGTTGAATATTATTCTGTCAAAGGAAACGTTGTTGGGTATTTTATTAATATAGAAAATTGTCTATCAGCTAGATCAGGTATCGTTGAGTTTGTATGGCTCCCAAACTTTATAGTAGGGTATTTTTTTTAATTATACAATTTGACTTATGAGCAACTCATGCAGGTGAGATTTGTCAGGTCAGGGGCAGAAGGCTACACACGAAACAAAACACTGCTATGCATTTTTTTTATACACATGTATGCATTTATTTTTTAAACATTGAATTATTTATGAAAATAAATAATTCTGATATTGCCACATTTCGACGAGCTTCACTTTAAACACTCTTAGTGACTGTAGTACATCTACATATATACATATAATGAAAGTGTAATTATCCGATGTCTGTACATGGAAGATATTTAAAGAAAACTAATATAGTATAAGTAGGGGAATCTTAATAAGAACAATAGAAGCCATCTAAATTTTTTTTTAGTTTTTTGTCTGTTTGTGTGCATGGGACTGTTCTTGGTGGTTAAAATTGATTTTCAATTTATATTAAAATGGTATGTTTGAATGTAAATTATAGTCTTGTAAAAGAGGAGTTTATTTAGAATTAAGCATACACTATTTAGTGAACTTTATAGAATGGTAATAAGAGTGGTATTAAAATGGCAGTGAATACACGCCAGCTGTATACTATTTGGCGATGGTTTGATGCATAATAATTGAACTCCAAAAAACATATTCGCGTATTAATTGTGTATAACATGCAATTAATATATGTGGTCATCATTCTTGACTAAAATGCACGTAATTCAATTCCATTATTCCTTTATTAAAATACGCTAAGCTGTACGGTTGCGCAGTTCTGAACAGTATGTTTGTGCCGAAAACGCAAACATACTGTTTTAATTGGATGCGGTCTTCAAAGTGGTGTCTAGGAAAGTCAAACTTAAAATTTGGTGTACACTTTGATAAGCTTATTTCATTTGTATTTTCTAAATTCTATATTTCTAAAATTAACGCCTACGAAGGTGAAGGTTAACGCCAGTCTTTAATATTAAGATGTTTAAAATACAAATGGATGTCTTTTATCAAAACGAATATTATTTTCAGATACGAGTATATCAACGTTGATAGAACATAAAGATATGATGCAGACAGGTAAAAAGAAGGCTTAGATGTCTATTTTGTTGATTCAAATCTGATAATTGAAATTAAGTAATTTTTCATTTTCCTTTCAGGTGGCGAAGAAGCCAATACTTCAGAACAAAGTGAGTTGGTTATAATATGTTGAACATAAATAACTTTGTAAGTATTTACGAACATATCGCTAATATGAATATCACCAATGAATATATGTTTTTATAAATGACTTTAGTACTACTGTACCAGATGGATCGCAACTTCAGCATACCCACGCCTCAATCCAGACTGTTCAAGCTGAAGTGCTTAATATAGGTATAGAACTTTTTATTAAAAATAGCTACGTAATTATCTGTGTTCACCATATCACCAACATATTTATTGTCAGCAAATCCACAAATCATCTAGTCTCTTCTATGTGGTTTGTCCTCAACCTCCCGCCTGAATAAGGTCTGACAGATAAGTTAATTGCCTCTTTCTGTATTGGTTTAAAAGTTTCATTAAAATTAGTTCAACTTTTTTAAAGAGGTAGATAAAGCAGACAAATATTTTATTATTGTTGTATTATGTTAAAGAATACGTGTTTTGATTTAGGGGAAATCCAAGTTCGTCTAAAATTATCAGTGTTTAAAAAAAAACCGCATCCAAATCCGTTGCGAAATTTTAAAAATCTAAACATATATAGGGATAGACAGACGGTAAGCGACTTTGTTTTATACTATGTAGTGATTTCTATTTAATTAAAATTCCCGTTGTGCATGTAGGTAGACATTTTTAATAAATGTACTTAAGTTTTAAAAATAAATCACTCTGTAGGTAATTATTTAATATCGCGCCCTATATAACAGTGGAATTTGTCACTACCGGGTAATTCTTTGGTATAACATTGTTTATTACGTTATTCACAGATGGACTTGAAGAAATTAGGCGAGCTTCCAGTGAAAGTATCCAAACTGAAATACCAAATATAGGTAATTAACCATCGATTATAGCTGAGTAATTATTTATTTAATTTTACTAATAATTCCATAATATAGTGTAAATTCTATATAGCGAACTTCTATATAACGAAAACTCTTTAAAATGTAAAAATTACTGTTTTGTTTGGTTTTTACTTTTGTATCGAAACACTCTTTATAGCGTTGTAATCACTCAATAGCGAAATGATACATCGTTATTTATTTATACCTCAATAAACAGTAGTTTCACTGACCTTCAAACTCGATACTGACAGAATATATTAAATATTTCTTTTTTTTTATTTTTATTTAACGAAGATGATCCCACTATATCATAAGACTAGAATAAAATGCAACGAAAGATACAATTAAAATACTGCCATAGTAAACTGATTATGTATTTTTTTTTTCCACTTAATTTAGTCAAAATTAAAAGATTTTAAACTCAAAAACATATTTGTAAGATTGTATTTTTTTTTTTTATTTTCTGTTTAACGAATCTTTTTATAAGTCATTAAAATACCCGGTCCCTTCGATTTCGCTATACAGAGTTTTCACTGTATTAGACAACAAAATTCATAAACTATTATGAACTAAACAAATCCTATATTATTAAGATTTTTTCTAATAATAATAAATTATTTGTTTTGTTTAAAAAAAATACGAATTTTTAAATTTTATTATTGTCTGCAGGTATTACGAGTACGGTACGGCGTCCACGACTCAGGCGTCCTGTTTTGAGTGGGTATCTATTGCCTCTACTATATTTTTTGTTAAATTTTGTAAATATAATAGGTGAAATTTCAAGGAAAGATTTTTATTGTAGAGAAACGAGTAAAGGCGCCAGTAAACACAGCTTGGGTCATAGAATTGGAACGCAGACGGGTTAGAGCCGAGGAGATGATGGCTAGAGCATCTTTAATAATGGCACAGGCTGCTAAAACCTTCAGTGAAGGCATGGTACAATATTTAAATAGAAATAACGGTAAATGAATATTTTTAAAGAATAAATTATAGTTGTTATTGATGTTAAGAAGTTTGAATAGAAACTTGATTAAACATTTAAACAAGTGAACAGGCATTTTATGATTTTTAACCATGGTAATATTTATTTATTCCCTTGCGGATTGTCGAATGAGATTTGTGGGGTTTTTATACGCTTAAACCTTTGTACTCTATGGTACATCTATGTATTTGTTAGTGGGGATTCTAGTTGCAGTTTTCCGCAAATATAGCCCGTTATGCGGCAATGTCGTAACAGTATTAGTACTAAAGTATAGTATGGACACTCATTGCTGTTCACTGCAATTTACTTCACCACCTCTCAAACACGCATCAGCTACCATAGTCTAATCGATGTTTAGTCTACGCTTTAATAACTGCCGATCTCAGATAGGGATAGAAGATACAATATTTACGAGGTACGAAAAAGATAACGTTACAGCTCAATCCACATTAGTAATGTGGATAATGTTGTAATGTGACAATTTGACATTTGCCCTCTTACCGCATTATTCCTAACAACAAAACCAGGGGGAAAGGGATTGTTAGTAATGGAGACTGAGAATCCCATTGCTAGCAATATACCCAACCAGGTCGACATCCTCGCGGTTCTCCCTGGAAACTATCATGGTTAATTCCTGATGAATTTATCATGATGGGCTAACTGGCCTGTTTTCATTGTCATCTATCACTCATCACTGGTGCTCCGCAAGCGTATACCGTTAGCGTAGGCGGGGTTCCCATACCATTTGTACCCATAAAAAAAAAAAACTACAAAACCACACACTGTCGTATGTGTAGACGTTACGTTACTTGATCCTGTAATTGTGGCAATCACGGAATGTAAAAAACATTCCGTGATTAAAACATAAACAAGTAAACGATCGGTCCAGACTATAATTATCTTCATTAATTTTATTGTTTACTGATCAGTTCAAATTATTTGAAAATGTTTTGTTACAAATCGTCTCTAATACGATATGGGCCCCGAACAACACTCAAGTAAGGTTATGAATTAAAGGATGACATTCTTAATTGTATCTGCTGGTAACTTCGATTTTGAAATACTTCCCAGACGTCTATATCGATCTATCTCATGCACGTGGGACCGTAAACGTATCTATCGATAGATTAGTTGGTCACTTATCTAGGGGGATTGATTTACATACAGAATATTATTTGAATTCACGTTTAAAAACACCAATCTCTTTCAAAAATCTTTATTTGCTACATAAATCACGAGGCTTGCATAGTTTTTTGTCCATAGTTATCTAATTACCTATTTGTTTACAATATTACAATGCAGTATTAAATTGTGATTATTTTCAATAATAATTATATACCTACATTGAGCAATACATCTACATTTAATATTTTTTTCAGTCCACAAAATTCGTTTTTGCATTGCTCGAAAATATTTAATATAAAAATGTGGTACAGGAGACAGATAATTAAATAATAAAACTGATTTACATAATCAACGATGTATAACCATAAGAATAATAAATAAATCTGGGTAGAAGTGACACTCATGTACCTTCTATTGTGACTGCACCGATGCCGAAAAAATTTACCCCACTTCTCCTCATTAAAATAGGGTTGTTATAAATTTATATTCATTTCATAAATTACTTTGTCATACATAAATAATGAATTCGTTATAGTATTAAAAGAAAAAGTGGTAAATTCTTAAGCGGGCGGCCTTTCTTGCAATAGGAGTGACGACAACACATATAACCTAATAATTATGACTTGGACAAATATTAGTTACATACAAAATATCCAACAATTCGGGAGACTCGAATGTTAATAAGATTTTCAATGATGTTCCTACCATCAATGTATTAAAATAGTTATTAATAATAAAATTTATAACAAGTGTGTAATGTATAGTAAAACAATTAAATAGAATAAATGGATGAATGAATATGTATTACAACGGTGTTAACTTACATAAAAAAATATTAAATTTAATTTGGTGAAATCACGTACTATTTTCGTATACGTACGATATCAAAGTGAATATCTATGCATAGGTAAAAAAAGCCATCTAGTGGCTTACTATTAAATGTGCTCTCTGAGTGGCGCAGAACAGCCCTGATTAAATTAATTTAAAATTCAAGGATGTCCCGAGTGACGGATACGGTATTATTATTAAATTGGCGGGAGTGTCACTTCTGCCTAGTTCTTATTCTTAAGGTTTAACACGAATATTAGAGAAATTAAGACAATGCCTGTTTGAAATTAATTCTATTACTTTTGTAGATTGCACGTAACGGACAGTGACAATACAGTGAGATAATTGAGAAATAAGAAATATCTATACTCGTAAATATATATAAGAAATAAATAATTTACAATTATTTTTTACATCTGTGACATCTAAATCAAAATCTTGATTGATCGTATCCGCTATGACTATAACAAATACAGAGTAATAAAAAGATTCAGAAATAACATTATTTAAAAAATATGTGTTTTAAATTTGAAATTTAGTTTCATCATCACCATCATATCAACATTCAACTGTCCACACATCTGAACATAAGCCCCCCACTGGGGGAGGGGGTCGTCAATAGTTGCCACACTTGGCAGGCGGATTGGCAACCGCAGTTAGGCTTTGTACGTTTTAAGAGGGACGCTGCTGCCTTTTCCTTCCTTAGTCGCCTCTTACGACATTTAGTTTATGTAGCATGAATTATGTGTAGGTACATTAAACAGAAAAAAATTGCTAATTAAGTAAACAAAAAAAAAAACGTTACTAAGGTGAATCCATAAGTAGACGCATTTGATCTTTCACATGCGACTCCATGTCAGAGAAATCTTTTAAAATATCTTCAATCATTTCTACTAAAATGGTCGGCCATTGAAGTTCTAGTGCTCGTAACCTTTGTGCTGCTCCACAAGCTAACTCGATTGCGTGTGATAATTGACCTCTACCGCGTACTCGCCAACTCATATCCTCCTGTAAATACGTCAAGAATACCTAAATGTTATTTTAAAAATGAAAAATGTTTATGGTTTAGAAAGTAGAGTAGGTAATGGGCGCTTAATAATAAAACCGTAGTATGCTATTTTCTCCGACGATATTTTGAACGTGCACAAAAAAGTAAGTGCCTTCATAATATCAAATTATATCGTGACGATAAAATGGTACGATATTATAAAATCATCCATAATTATACTACTCAGTATAGATTGAATGTAAGTACTTATTATTTAACCATTTATAACCGTCACAAGACATTAATGACATATTATTGACCTTGGCAAATATGTAAATAGAAATTGTAATAGAAATATTATTATAAAGAAAATCGTTTTCAAATGATTATTATGTAATTGAAAAAATTTAAAAGAGTGTTCAATTATCATCTATTTTACTTATTATTTATTAAATATTTACCTGCGAAACATGCCCTTTCTTATATTGTAAAGCTTCTTTTGCTATTACATCTCTAAGTGCAGGATCAGCGGCCCTTAACCAAGCTTTAGCGCTAACTGTACTATTACCACTTCTACCGAGCCTTGAGAGTAGAGGCTGCAACGGAGCGTCGGGAAGTGCTCGCAACACTATATCGCTAAGTCCATTATATATTTTGTTTGCTGATTTGATTTCATCTTCTGTCACCTGTTCATACATAACAATATTAATACTTAATAATTACAAAAATCAAAATTGTTAAAGAAATTATTGGTATACCGGTTCATCGTTTATTTCTTTCAAGCCCCAGTGAGCCAATCTGTATACTGCGTATTCTCTCCAACTTTTAGCGTGTATTGGGTTACCCTCTGGCAAGACTGTTAATCCTGTAAGACCGCGTAATTCGGCTAGTGCATGTAATTGACCCAGCCACTGAAGTCCAGTTGCTCGAAAAGATATATGTGTAACATTTGGAAACCTAAAACATATAGAATATTAGTTTTATCGTCAAATTAGATAAATAATAGTGTAATTGAATGTCAGGAATCTATTATACTGACTTTGTTTTAAGTTCTGGCAAAGATTGCGCCACTGCGTTGAAGTGTACATAATGAAAAGCTGCCTTTATAACGGAACGTGCTTTCTCCCAATCCCAATCCCGAGCGAGACGTCTAACTGCTCCTGCTCCCCACGCACTCACAACACCATCACAAACTTCAACAAGGTAATCTACACCTATAATTAAAACGTTGCTATTATTGTATACAGAAATATAACATTCGGCGAGAAATTATGATCAAATTATTAAAATACCTTGTTCTCTATCTTTTGATGAAGGTACAGGTTTCAAAACTGGTTCTGATGATTTTAAACTGGCTAAACTTTTTCCTGACTTCACTCTGGCTGTCGATGCTCGACTAGCCGATGATGCTCTTTCGCTTCTCCGTGTTATCGTAGCACTTTTGATATTTCTGTTACTTATTCGACTGTTAATTGACCCTTCCCGTCTAAAATTTTTGTTATTATGGTCGCTACCAGAAGTAGATGAATTTGCAACTGAGCCAAAATTTGTACTAGTGGATATGTTGCTAGTATTTTCACTATTATCAGAATGTTTAGTATTATTTTTAATCCTGCGACATTCTGGGTCACACACAGATTTAGAACGCATGGTGCTGAAATGTTCTCGTCTTCTTATAGCTGTAGGCATGCGTCGAACTTGCCGTTTATTTGTTTCATCTTCACTTTCGCTAGTAGAAGAGGGCATAGAACTAAAAGAGGAGTCCACAATTGGATCTACGCTAGAAATACTTTCCCATCTCTTCAATATTGGTTCATTGCTGTCTGCTAACTTAACATTTTCCAAAGACGAAATAATCGGTAATAATATGGGTGGTAGCCTCAGGTCGCTACTTGTGGACGTTGAATGTGAACCATCTGTATCTTGTGACACACTTCGATCTGAAAAGTTTACACGCCTATCGGATTTTCTTGCTGTTGCACTTCTTTGTAACTTCCTCATTGGAGATGCTTTCCCACTATTTATAACATTTGTTTTGACATTATTATCGCTACTGTTATTTTTTCCATCGGAATCATCAGCATCAATATGCTGTAGAGATACGACAACATCGGGAAGGTTTGATGGTTCATTCGTTTGAGTTCCATCGTGGTGTGGTAATGTTACAGTAGATGCGTCTATTGCAAATTCTTTTTCTGTCTCAAGAACTTTGTTTGAAGCGGTAAGATTCATAAAACACTTGTTTTCTGATCTAAAATGCAGCAATTGTTTTAGTAAAAAAGACAATCGGAGAAGAATAGCGTTATATAGCAAAAAATATAGATAAATAGCAAAATATATACCGAAGTAATTCCCAATTGGTGCGTGCATTGTTAATGATTTGGTCACGTCGTGCGGCTTGGTGAGCTGTCCCGCCTAGTGCACAGTACGCAGCGTGGGCTGCTTCTTTATTTTCTCGCCAAGCCATTGCTGCTCTTCTAACCTACAAAATGTGATATGAAATATTATGTTATTAAAAAAATGTCACAAATATTAGATCCAATTTAATTTCCATGTACCTCGATTTATTGGGATTCGAACTCGCATCTATTCGGGCTTACTCATTGTTAGTTAAGTCACGGCTTATTATAACAAATAGGTTACTTTATTAGGTGCTTTGGTATTATTCGATCATTAAATGACAAATTTTCTAAACTATATATACTATAACCTGACCCCTGTAGTACGTAAAAATTCACGTGACCCGAATAGCTGAGAGACATTAGTTCGAATTTTATCGGATCTAGTTAATGGGAGGTTAAATTTTTCAACTTAAAAAAATTATATACAATAATTTCTGAATAATAATAATTTTACCTGGTCTGTCACATGCATGTTTGTTAATGTAAGTAAACTTGGTAAGTACGACACGAGAAAAGGTGTGCAATCACCACCTAGAGCCACTGGATTGCCGTCTAGAGACACATCAATTAGAGACGTAGCTTCAGCAAGTGAGGATACATCTTCTACACTAAAAAGAGCATTTAAACCAATATTTATTTGTTTTAAAAATATAATACTTAAAATAATAATTATAGAAAAGAAACACTAAGTGTATATAATTCTATATTTACCTCTGCAAATCGTTATTTCCTAAATATAGTTTTTGTAATTTTGGCGTATTTTGAAAACCGAGTAATTTTCTCAGACGATTTCTTTTCAAATTCAATTCTCTCAGAGAAACTAGTCCTTGTAGATCAGATTGACCTATGCATTTTATTTGATTTCCAGCCAAATTAAGAACTTTCAGGTCATTTAAATTTGACAGTCCACCCACTTTACTTATCCTGTTTCCGTGTAAATCTAAAACTTCTAGTTTTATGAGATTTGATAATCCTTCTATTCTTTTGATCCTGTGAAGTTAATTACATCATTAATTAAGTATGGAAACAGATAAATATGTAGGAATGTTTGTTTATAAAATTGTTAAGGCTTTACCTGTTTTTTCCAAGTAAAAGTACTCTTAAACTAAATAATCTTTCTAAAGAGTGAATTTTGTCTATTTGATTGTCGTAGACATCGAGGAATACCAATTTGCCTAAATCTAGAGATGATAAACCGGATAGGCTGTTAATTAAATTATGTTGTAGGGACAGTAGCCTCAAGCCAGGCTCCCCAACGATATGGGGAATAGATGACAATCCCCGTCTGAAACACCAGAACATAGAATATGATAATCTGAACCAGAATACATAAATCTCTCGATGTTGCATCTATTAGTCTAGTTCGGAATTCTAAGTTAAAATCCGTCTGAAATTTTCTAATAATCTCAAATTTTTGTGTTACAACCTAATATACAGAATGTCGGGGTGGAATATTGGGACTATTTAAAACTTTATGATTTAGAACGTATTTAGAATCACTTTACAATGAAGTAATTTTGGCAATTTTGATATTAAAGAGAGACATCTTTACATAAGTAGATTAAATGTACAGATTTTCATTATTTTTTAATACTACATCAAAACGAATGAAGCGGGTATAGAGAGTATGCTGTAGTAGAAAGTTTCATCCTACGTCTGTAAAGGTATGCTCGTATCGATATTGCCAAAATTTTATACCATTATCCCTAGTATATATTAATAAAATTAAAAGTAAATAATACCTGTCTAAAGTTATTCTATCCGGTAGTCGGTCTTTTTCCTGTGGTGTGCGAGATAATTGAACCTTTCCTTCTCCCACAGCTTGTAAGTTAACCATTTCATCTCTGGCGTCATCTTTGTGAAGAAAATCATTTCTGGCCGACATACAAAATATTAAAAATATTCTTAACCATCTTAAATAACTGTATAAAATGCAGGCACATATTTACAGGCGTAGCGGTATCATAAACACATACTTTAATAAGGTTCCGGGTTCGAGTCTCAGTTGTTCCCATTTAGGAAAAACCTTTTCTATATTGGCTCTAAGTTTCGAATGACACAGAGTTTGCGTTATATTTTGTTCGCTATATGTCTCTACTAAGAGTGGAGTATGAGGCTATGATTATGCAAAGCAATATGCTATAGACAATCGATTACTATTAGATATGTTCGTTGAAAATCATGTTATGTCTATCTTGGATACATTGGTACTTGCTTTTTCCTACTCCATTGAAATTGGGAAGTTGAGAGAACTTTATTGTGAAGAAAAATATAAGTCAGTATTTCCGAAAATTAACACACGCTATTCCGAAAAATGTAGGTACTTGTAGGTTTTAATGATATTTATCTACCTACCACAATCATGATTGTCTTATTATAGGTTCTTCAAAAGGAAAAGAGGTTTCTTCAAAGTCGGCAACGCACGCGTAATACCTCTGGTATTGCAGGTGTTCATAGGCTATGGTAACTACTTACCATCAGGTGGGCCGTATGCTTGTTTGCCACCTCAGTGGTATAAAAAAAATAGGTGTCCAAACGAATTCTGTTTATTTTTATTATGTTGGTGTTAATTATTTTAATAGTAATTATTATTTATTTTTTTTATTTAATTTTATGATAAGTGGTCATAGAAATTGTTTAAATGGAATATGATAGATGTGCAAGTTTTTTTTGGTGAATATCAATGGGTCGGTTGTATGCTGACCATAACTGTTAGTTAAGTTTTAATTATAAATGGTTGCAATTTAATCAATTACCCTGAAAGCGTTGTATGTGATCGCGCTAGAGTACTCCTGGGGTCAGCAATTGCAGGTCTAATTTGTAGAAAAAGGCGATTATCTCCACCAGCCCCTGGATCTAATGGTGGAGTATTAGTATCAAGGGATTGAGCTGATCGTCCTCTTGTGCGAAAAGCTATTTTTCTAATCTGTAGAAATTAAAATAGTATCAATCTATTAAATTAAAATTGAAATTAAAATTTATCGAATGTAGCATGTAATTCTATATTATTTAGCAAAGTCATGAATATGTATAAAATTTGCATATAATTCATAAAGATATAATACTTACATTTCCACGACTGTATGTATGCATTACAAATATACGCTATAATCTAGGTGTACAAACTTATATAATTGGCCCCAGTTTATACAATTTTATTTTATGAAAATAAATTCGTACAAAAGGCAGTTTTGGTCCATTTTGTTACTGTCAAGCTGTTACTTAGTAACTATATCAACAATCTTAATTGTACAAAACACGCAAGCATTACAGATGTTCTCGTTCTGGTACAGACGATTTTATTTATATTTATTTATATTTTCTGTATTTGTATCCTTAGGACAAAAACCTCTCTGTAAACGAATGTAAATACTGCGACAAAAACAGTCCAACTTTTTTAAAAGTGGCGCACTTTTGCCTTTTGTTAATTTACATTACCTACTTAAATATCCTTGTTGGTATAATATTTTATACTACATTGTGGCATATATATATATATATATATATATATATATATATATATATATATATATATATATATATATATATATATATATATATATATATATATATATATATATGTATGTATATATGTGTATATATATATATATATATATATATATATATATATAATATTATCAAAAAAGTGAATATTAATTTGCTTTACAGTATACGTTATACTATGTCTATGATGTTGATAGTCGTTTAGATTAATTTCCAGTTTCCTTAATATAACAACAGTGCTATTTATTAAATGAAGAATTGATTCCTTGGTATAGACCTTAGCTCTATGTATATAAATCTTTATTTGAATTAAAATGAAAAAAAGAGGTATTTAGGTATAGATATATTAGATATTTAAGTAAATTAGTTATGTCTTAGAGAAATTTAATTAATCAATTCCAGTCAATCCAAGGACAATTGTAACAATTTATGGATATTAATTTCGAGATATAAAGAAGGATTGGTAATCAGTCTTGTATATGCATCAATATGCATAGATTAAGAATGGTAGATACTACAGCACGACAAAGATGCGTATTATTTCTAGTCAATGTCGATTTGACAGCTATTTTATTATTGTTTTGGTTGACTGACGTTGACAGTTGAATCTAAAAAACAAATCTTTTTGAAGACTAGGCAGCATGGTCTCCGACCTTAGCCTGTTCCAAACGGAACAAACGTACTAAAAAAAAAAAAAAACTAAAAAACAAAATAACATCACTGAACGAAAACAATTTGCAAAATTAATATAATATATAGAATATAAAAAATCTCAAGTATATTTTTCCGTTTGACTTTCTGAAATAGGTATATCTTAGAATTTATGTACAAAAGCTTGTGTAAAGTTTTTTCATTGCAAACGTTAGGAAGATTTCTGTCTTATACTAGTAACGCTAGTTCTGTAGGCTTTAAAATGGTTCGATACTTTCCCAATCCATACGAAGATTACAAGACGGGTGTTGATTTAAATATCAATAAAGAGGAGATAATAAACCAGATTAATGAATATGTAAATAATATTAGCAAGCGTCTTCAACCCACACGTAAGAATGTCGATGGCGGACTCTATGTCGGTGTTACCGGCGTATCCTTTATGTTTTATTACTTATCTAAAAATTCTCTTTTGTCGGAGCATAAACGTAATTATTTGGATAAAGGACTAGAATATATAAAGCCTGCTTTAGAGATATCAGCTGGTGACAAAACTTCTTTTCTACTAGGCGATGCTGGCACATATGCTCTAGCTGCCATTCTGTATAAAGAGTTGGGAAATGAACATTATACTGGGATGATTGGAGCGTTTAGATCACTTTATAGCCTGTATTTGAATCCCAAATTTTTAAAATGTGGCAGGGATGAGTTCTTTGTTGGTCGAGCTGGTTTTCTAGCTGGGGCACTGTGGATTAGTCGTGAACTACAAAGTCAAGTCTTCACAAATGAAGAGCTATACAAAATTTGTGATATCATGGTGGCATCTGGTAGAGATTACTCAAATAAACACAAGAGTCCTTGTCCACTTATGTATCATTACTATAATACGGAATATCTTGGTGCAGCTCACGGTATTAGTTTTATCTTACAGATACTTTTGACCATACCAGGATACTTGGAGTATAATAAGGTAGCTGCTAAAGATATTAAAGCTACTGTGGATTTTATAGCTTCATTGCAGACTGAAGAAGGCAATTGGCCATGTTGTATGGAAGAGATAGGCTTGAGTGATCATAAACTGGTTCATTGGTGTCACGGTGCTCCTGGTACTGTGTATTTGATGGCAAAGGCTTACCTTGTTTTCAAAGATGATAGATTTTATCATGCTTGTCTCAGAGCTGGTGAGGTAGTGTGGCGAAAAGGTTTACTGCGCAAAGGACCTGGTATTTGCCATGGAGTGGCAGGCAATGGATATGTATTTCTGTTATTATACAGAATAACAGGAGATAAGAAGTACCTCCATAGAGCTAAACTTTTTGCTGATTTCATGAACACAGATGAGTTTTTGAGAGATGCACGATTACCTGATAATCCAGAGAGCTTGTATGAAGGCACAGCTGGTACTGTATGTTACTTGGCAGATCTCTTGGTTCCAGAAAAAGCTGAATTTCCATTTCAAGATGTCTTCTCGATTTATTAAATTGTCTTCACATTTTGTCTATGTTTGTAGTGTAGTTATTTATTAAACTACTTTGTCTAAAATAGATTTAATTCTAAGAATCGCTGTAATTTTATTGTCAACGATTATCCTCATTTTTTATTCCAATATGCTGTTGACAGTAATGAACCCTATCATTTATTTGCCTTGATGCATGTAGGCACTAGTGTAACTTTAGTTTGTTTATATAAACATGCATTATGGTTACCTTCTGTTGCATTTTTTGTCTATTGCAAACAAAAGTTTTATTACAGATTTTTTACTATATAAACATTTAAATAATGCAGTAATTTTTCATTGTAATAAACCAAAGGATATAATTTTTATTCAAAAATTATTTCATAAAAATGATATTCAAGTGTTAACTTTAGAAGTGGAAAATCATAAATCATATCAAATTAGTAATTACAAGTCTAAAGTTGGGGTAATAGTGGATGCATCATGTGACAGTTGGCCACTAATTTTCAATGAGTTTAGTACTGAAAAACTATTTAAAAGTTCTTTCATTTGGGCTGTAATGACAGAAGATTTGTCCTCAACCACTCATGTATTATACCAGCAACCAATAGATATTGATTCGGATGTGGTCATTGCTTATAGAAATGGTAAAATATACGATCTTTATGAAGTATACAATACAGGATATTATTCCAATGGTATCTATAAATTAAGGAAAGTAGGTCACTGGAACGACACACTTCATTTATGGAAATCGCCTAGATATGATATGAGTGGGGTGATTTTGAAATGTCCACTGGTCATAACGGAGAAGGTGGTAAATGAAACCTACGAAGATTATTTGATTAGACCGAAAAAATCGCATATTGATAGTTTGCATAAATTGAAATTTTTTACTGTGCTAATGTATTTGCAGGAAATGTTTAATTACAGGTAAAATTGATTAAATTCTGTCAACGTTGTGTGTGGCCTGTCGTGTGCGATGCCACACTTGTAGGTACTTCCTATCGCCACTGATATCCCTTATATTATCGCCAGGGAGTTTTTTTTTAATGAGCGAGAATGGAATGGTAACTCGTCCTGCACTATCAGTATACGTGACGGGGTACCAGTGAAAGATGATAGCTGAGGATGAAGCAGTTCAATTAGCCTATCGTGACAAATTCCATAAGAATTAACCACGATGGCTTTCAAGGGGAACTGCGTGGAATTTGACCTGATAGGCTATATTGCTAGCAATGGAGCTGTTAGACCCTATTACTAACAATTCCTTTCTCCCTATCGGCAGGGTTTGTCGCGCATATTGGCGGATTTAAGGAAGGGGTGGGAGGAATGTTTGGTGCCCACCCCAAAATCTGAGCGGGGCTTTTAACTATACGCAAAGATATGTAGCTGAGAATACATATGAGCCTTTTTTTTAAGGGAAAGCCTACCCTGTAAAATGATCTTAAATATGCCAATGACCACACATGATGTTGATGGGCAATTTAAATTCATGAAAATGAATGCATATGTTTCTTATTACAGTTATTTATTTTTAGTTATGAACTCAGGCGGGTTCTCTCTTGGGGCTACAACCGTAATGGTAGTTTTGACGGCATTGTTGGAGCACTGCAGCGACAGGAAGCAGATTTGAGCGGAAGTAGCTTATTCTTCAGGTCGGATAGAGCTACATTAATCGACTATATTGTTGAGACGTGGCCGTCAAGGTATCTTGTTTATTACATATTCGTTTTGGGTGTTAAAGAGTTAGTTGGCATACCTACTAGCCTGATTTATAAAGCTCAGAAGTCGTGAATTCGATTTGAGCGGTACCAAAACATTGTTCCAATTAAAAGTTACGTCTAACTCTACGATGAAAAAATAAAAACATCGTTAACAAAGTAAATTAATCCGAGAGACAGATCCATCCTTTCCACTTAAGTTCGCCTATTGTTTTTAGACACAATACAATTGTGTTTGCATTTAGCACAACATTATTTCTTCAGGCAATGTTTCATATTTCGTCATCCAAAACACCCAGGAGCCTTTTATACTGTCTTCACCAGACCCCTGACTACTGAAGTATGGTATTGTATAATATGCATGCTCGTTATTTCGGCCACCATTTTGGGGATAATGTTTAAGTTGAAGACACAAAGAGTAAATGACGATGCAGAATCCTCATTTAGTTTGGCTTTCTTATTTTCGTGGAGTGCTATATGTCAGCAAGGTAAATACCTACATGTTTTTACTGATTACTTATTATTTCTTATCTTACTTCAAAAAAGAGGACGAGCAGACGGTATTTTCTTTATTTCGAATTTAATGTTCTTTTTTTAATGTCTGACTGAAACATAAATGGTATTTATTAGTTTATAGTTAATAGCTCCTGAGTTAATGAATCGATTTTAGTTTTTTTGTTTGATATGTGATTCCATCGAGTATTTTTCACTATGATCCAAGAAAATCTGCTTAAGCATTTAAAAATCTTTAGCCCCTTTACATTTCTTTATGATGCTCCTAAATTAGGTATGTCAAAATTAAAATTAAAGAAATAAAAATTTTATTAATAGCTGTTTCATTGAAATCCGTTCAGCCGTTTGAAATACATGATGAGTAGCAAACATACAAACATCTAAATATTTTTACAAACTTATATTTGTACAATTAATAGGATAATTATTGAATATGTTGAATAAACTACTTTGGCAGGAATGGGCATACAAAGCCGTACTATGAAGGCGTCGATGAAGATAGCTGTATTGGTTATATTTGTGTATGCATTAACGCTTTACCAATATTACAATGCAATAGTTGTCTCAACGTTGCTACATGAATCTCCCAAGAATATCAGAACTTTAGAGGACCTTTTGAAGAGCAATATCAAGGCAGGCGCTGAAGATGTTTTGTACACCAAGGATTATTTTATGGTTTCTGAAAAACATTTTATAGCGTAATTAATAACTATTATAAAATAACTTAATTGTCGGAAGATGGGCAGTAGCGTCCATCCTAAAACATCACTAAAAGTCTAATTACGGTTGGTTCAAACCCGCCTGCAAAGCGTGGCATCTATTAGTAAAACCCCCTTTATAGGAAAAGCCATTTTCAGCAGTGGACAGTTAATGGCTGCTATGATGATGATGATGATGAAATGACTATAATAATAAATAGAATTTCGCTTTTAAGCATTATGACTGTATACTGAAAGAGACTATATAGTGACTAACATTTGGGATATGCTCACGAGCAGACATCGTAATATTTCGACATTATATTTTTTATTTTGGTACCTTTATAGAAAAATCTTAAAGGGTAATTAAGGGTAATGTAGTAAATAATTAAATTATGCGACGCTTTAAGTTATTTCGAAACTTTCTTTTGAAGTTATTTCGGAAAATGAATGCAATATATGAATAGAGCCATAACTCATTTCATGATTCTTTAGTCGGGCTCAAAATGTTATATTGCTGTGACATATCAGAAAGTATCCGTAGTTGTGATTAGTGCAGACAATAATATTGAAGATAAATCTAGATATTTTAATTATTTACAGCGTACAACCGATCCAATAGCACTTGAAATTTATAATAAAAAAATCGCTACTAGTAATCATTACAACTTTTTCTCGCCATCGTACGGGATGGCGCGCGTCAAACAGGGAGGATTCGCTTTGCATGTAGACAGCGTTGTGGCTTATAGAATAATGAGGGGAACATTCACTGAGAGAGAGAACTGCGAGGTTCAGGAGATAGAGATGTATCCACCACAAAAAATGGGCGTGGCCGTTAAGAAGTTGTCTCCGTATAAAGAACATATTACTTATGGGTAAGTTGCACCTATATATGTAAATATCTATTTATAACTTATGTAGGTGATAAGTACATAAATCATAAAAAAAAAAACTAAAAAGTTTAATCATCATATCAGCCGTTAATCGTCCACTGCTGAACATAGGCCTCCGCCTGGGGGGGGGGGGGGGGGGTTGCCAGTAGACACGTTTGGCAACGGCAGTGTGATGTTGTTACTGATTAAATTAGTCTCCTCTTACGATACTTACGGAAAAGGAAGGTGTGGATCATTCTGTGCCAGGACCACACGGTTAGAATAATTACTAGGATAAGGAAATGTACTGGTTAGGTACCTATCATGAATTTCGATATATCTACAATCACAGAAGCAAGAGTGTTCGAGCGGCTCTCTACTAATAGTTTGTCATACAGTAAGGCATGGGTAATATGGATAGCGATTCAATATCTATCTGTATAATGGATTCCTCGGGACATTAATAGCGGAGAAAAGATTATCACTTATTTCGATGTAGCCCATATCCGTCGGATATTGATTTTTTTTTTTTTTTTTTTGTGGCGTCGCGAGATCCTAACATCAGTGCCCTTAAAAAGAAGTATAACTTTGCCTCTAGGTCCTTCAAAAGAGTTTTGGCCACAGCGAATTCAGAGCATATTGGTAGAATTGGCAAGAGATTGGCCAGTTTACCTTCGGGATCTCGAGCTTTCTGGTCTCTTGCCAAAGCTGCACAAGGGAATTTCTGTCAGTCATCTTTTCCACCATTGCGCAGGGAGGATAACTCGTTGGCTCTGAACGCCAAAGAGAAGGCCGATCTCCTTGGATCTCTCTTTGCATCAAACTCGACGTTGGATGACGGAGAGAAACTACCGCCGACCATTCCGCGTTGTAAGAGCTCTATGCCGAATGTTAAATTCACGCAAAGATCAGTGCGTAGAGCACTTCTCTCCCTTGAAATCCATAAGTCGAGTGGGCCCGATGGCATTCCTCCAATTGTGCTTAGGACGTGCGCACCAGAGTTGGCTCCGGTTCTTACGCGTCTTTTTCGGCTCTGTTACTCATCAGGTATAGTCCCAAAGTTTTGGAAGACTGCTTTGGTGCATCCGATCCCTAAAAAGGGAGACCGCTCAGATCCAGCTAACTATAGGCCCATAGCTATTACTTCCTTATTCTCGAAAGTCATGGAATCAGTTATTAACGATCAACTGCTCCGGTACCTAGAGGATCGCCAGCTGATCTCAGACCGCCAGTACGGCTTTCGACGAGGACGCTCGGCTGGTGATCTTTTAATTTATTTAACACACCGATGGGCGGTGGCAATCGAGAATAAGGGAGAGGCCTTAGCTGTTAGTCTGGATATTGCGAAAGCCTTTGATCGGGTGTGGCATAGGGCACTAATCTCGAAACTACCTTCGTTTGGGTTGCCCGCGAGATTGTGCAGTTGGGTCGCCAGCTTTCTTAAGGAACGTAGCATTAAGGTCGTAGTCGACGGAGCATGCTCTGACTTAAAACCTGTGAATGCTGGTGTCCCGCAAGGCTGTGTACTATCTCCGACACTGTTTCTTCTGCATATCAATGATATGTTACAGATCAGTGATATTCATTGTTATGCGGACGACAGTACAGGAGATGCATTATACACTGGTCATGCAAAGATCTCGCGGGCACATACCGATGAGCTCCGGAACAGACTTGTGTCTGAAATCGAAACTTCACTCGATAAAGTTTCGATCTGGGGTGAACGCAATCTTGTTCACTTTAACCCTAAGAAGACACAAGTCTGCGCGTTCACCGCAAAAAAGACACCGTTTGTCGTATCTCCTCACTTTCAGGGCACTTCCCTTGATAATAAGTCGAGTCTGGGGATTCTTGGCGTCGATATATCTAGCGACGTCCAGTTTTGCGGTCATCTGGAGGAAAAAGCTAAGATAGCTTCCAAAAAGTTGGGGGTGCTCAATAGGGTGAGACGGTATTTCACGCCAGAAAACCGCCTGAAACTGTATAAAGCTCAAGTGAGGCCACACATGGAATACTGTTCTCACCTGTGGGCAGGAGCGCCACAGTACCAACTCCTTCCATTAGACCGCATTCAAAGTCGGGCAGCTCGAATTGTTGACGATCGGCGTCTTACTGTCCGGCTCGACCCACTGAAACTGCGTAGAGATGTTGCATCTCTGTGCATCTTCTACCGAATTTATCATGGGGAGTGCTCTGAAGAATTGTTCGGATTGATACCTGCTGCTGATTTTCACCATCGTACAACCCGCCATAAACTAAAATTTCATCCCAACCATCTGGACGAGTGGCGGTCCTCCACCGTGCGTTTTTCAAGGCACTTTCTCCCACGCACAACCACTCTTTGGAATCAACTTCCAGCAGCAGTATTTCCGAACCGATACGACAACATAACCTTCAAGAAAAGAGCATATTCCTTTTTAAAAGGCCGGCAGCACACCTGCAATGCCGTAGGTGTTGTGGGTGATTATGGGCGGCGGTAGTCACTTACCATCAGGTGAGCCGCATGCTCGTTTGCCCCCTGTGTTGTAAAAAAAAAAAAAAAAAAATATTGATTTCCGAACTGTTATCCAATTTTATTTTTTGGATAACAACTTTTAACATATTCGTTATTGTACCAGTATATAGGTAGATATTGTAACTAAAATATATAGATATTATTACATATTACCCACCCCTAGTATACAGTGGCTTAGGTACATGATACAAATACAAAACAAACTTTGGCTACTAGCCGTGCTCAATTTTAGCGCGGATATTTTATGCGTGTAGCTAGAAGTGTAGTTACTTATTGTACATAAGTTCTAAATAATGAAGCATTATCTCCTATAATTTTTATTATTACGCAGTATTCGCAAGATGTATGAGTCCGGTATCTTCTGGCGACTCAAGTCAGTGTGGGACGAGCCTAAGCCGCCGTGTGTGAGCACCCCGGACAGCAGCGCGTTCTCGGTTTCCCTGCGCGAAGTCGCCATAGCTTTTATTTGTCTCATCGTTGGAGCCGTTCTATCTGCCGCAGTACTTACCTGCGAAATACTAATATACAGAGTGAAGGGTAGGCGCGTGGAATTCAGACATTAAAGTATAATTATATTTTTCTTTGGTTCCATGGTTAGGGGGCATTCATGTATTATGTGACGAAATTTTTGAGCCCCCCCCCCCCCTCCTCCATGTAATGGGCTGTAATATTTTTTCTGTACATCTTCTCTAAATGTTATGTAACACCCAAGTGACTTTTTTTGTACCTAAGTCAACACTAATGAATACTAACAACGGAAACAAAAACTTACGTTCCCAAAAAAATGAAAAGGGTTGCCAACTTGGAAGATTTTAATTCCTTACTTTTTATTCGAATAAGAACAATGTTATAGCAAGCGTTGTTCGAACCCCTTCTCCCGCCTCTGTAACGCATCATAACGTTTTACAAGACTACATCCCCCAAATTGCGTTACGTAATACTTGAACGTCGCCTTGAATTGACGCAAAATTTTCTTTTGCTTTATATTTGCATAATTCGTGTGTATTTGTAAGCAATTTTAGGTTTTATTATAACTGAAACAACATTTACTCGTCGCTTCTCGGACTTAAAAACCTGGACAATATAAAGGGAAATTGGATTCACACGAAGTCGTCTGAGCGGGCTATTACACACATTTTAAAATGAAGTCCTAACGAGAGTTAATTTCCTTTTTTTTTTAATAATGTAATATAATATTTATTAGTGTCAACCTTATTTCCGTCTATGAAATAGCAACGATGCGACTTCGTCGTAATTGATGTTTCTATAATTGACTTATTGTAGTGAATACGCAACTTTATGTGTAATCACATGTACTTAAAAGTAGTTTTTTGCTTGTTACTTTATACACGTGGATTTCAGAGATAGCAACACCAGTAAAATAGACAACTTCTAGATATCGTATCAATATACAACATACATAGATTTTATTAGATCTCCTAGGTATACAACTGTGAAACCGGTGAAACTACATCCAATTTGGTACAGTTCTTTTGGCGTAATGTGGTAATAAATATACAAAGCTAAATAAGATCTAAATATTGTTTTGGCTATATTTATATATTGTTTTTTTAAGAATCCTCATATATTTTTTTAAATAATATATATTAAATATATATACAGGCGTCGTCTAGTTAAAATTGTATGATATTAGTAAGATAAAAGTAATAAAAACCAGCACTATATTTAAGATTGGATCATTGCTTTTCGTATTCGTAAGGGTACCATAAATATTATAACAAATTGTTTTAAATATGATGTTAGTATATAAATAAAAAATATACACAAACCATCTCTCGGTTCATTTATTTGGATACATATTTTTGTCGCAATACACTGTTACAATCTCACATTAATCTGTTTTGTGAAAAATTACAGAGATCAAAAATCTGATCCGTTAGATTTTGACATATTTAAATAATATTTAGGATGCAGTTATATTCGAAAATTAACAAAGTTTGGACCGTCACAAATTGGTTACAAGTTGTCGCAGTAAAAGATGGTAATTAACAACTAGGCAGTGAAAAAGAAAAAAATTCTAAAGAGATATATTACGGTCTTCTTATCATATTTCATAATATACAAATGCTCAACAATACTGTTGGCAAATCAACAGCGTTGCTTGTCGCAAGGCATAGCAGTTTATATTATTAGTGACAGTGCAACACTGTCTGATGTTTCTGTACATAAACCATAACATGCCAGTATGACCTACAACTGGCAACACTTAGAAAGTTACAGTAACAAAAAAAAATACTTTTTACAACACAAACTGGCATAAAATAAACATAACTATGGAAATTCTCTCAGTCAATATTCACGAAATTTACATATTAAGCTATATAATCATTCTATACAGTGTTAGTCGAAAAGGTATACCAATCTGAAATTTAAAACACAGGAAGTATTCATAACATCAAATTGTCCATAAGGAATACTTTTACCCATCTAAGAGAAAGCAGCGACTGTCATCTAGGATGCCGCTTGTACGCGTTAGAACGAGACAGCAACGTCCGGCGTTCTGTCCCCGTACATATGCTAAGAAAAACATATCAACAGATGCAATAATTTGCCACTTGTCTAGGCATGCTCCATTATGAATATAGTCGAAAAATGAAAAATATTTAGCTTTTTAAAAATATTTAAAATTAATTTCACATTTCGATCAACATTCTGTTGAAATTTTCGTTTTCATAATACTACATTTCAAGATTGTATTACCTTTTCTGACTGTTAAATATAAATGAAGGGATAAACAATTTACCGCTGCTGTCATTGGGCGACACAACACATCTCTCAGCTGAGACGAGATGAAGCGACTACTAGTCCGTAGTACTTCTATATTTATAATGCAGCTTCTGGAATATTCTGTCCGGTGCTGCAGCGCACCAAACGAACTTCTTACATCTAAAATCTTTATCAAGTTGTAACGAAACAATTTTCAAATTAACATATTATAACGTATGAAATACGTAGTTAAAATCGTATTTTTATTGCAATAGACTAATAACTAGATAAGCGCAAAATAATATTTTTATGAAATTTTGTTACTTTATTTTGATAATAATGCAATTAAAATCACATTGAAAATGTTGGTAAGCTAATTGAGCATTCTCTAGAGTTACCGATACAAATGTTAGAATTATTACACAGTTTAAAGATATTTAGACCACTATTTTACACATAGTTCAGGCAGAGAATGAGTTGTACTTTTTTTAATTCACTGTTTTACTTTTTTGGACACTTCAATTTTCTAAAGCTAGTAACTGACTTACAATGTTGTTGTAAAAGGTGGTTTTTAGACAAAAGAACAAAGAAAGAGTAAATAATACAATATAAAAATGCTCTGTGTATTTATGATTTGTGGAAGTTCCCACTTATATAAATATGCCGGAGGATGACGTTTTGAAATTGATCCCATATATAAATATTTAATAAAAATATTTTTATATTTATACAGTGGAACGAACATAGATTAAAGATAGTATCCCTGGAATAAAGTATAAGTAGCTATTTTGAATAATGTCATTTTATCGATAAACAATAAAATATTCATTAAATAAGTAGAACAACCACAAACAAATTTTAAATGACGTTTTTAAAATACTCTACTCGTTATCTTTGAACACATTTACTCAAAACCAAATTTTAATCTAGAGAAAACGAAAAAAAAATATAACTTGGTCTAAATCCACCTAGCTCTCTAATCAAAGATTAAACGAATTTATTGGTACGCTTTCGCTATAGCCTGCGTAAGATAGAATAAGAAAGCAATATCTTGTATCTTGTTCTTTCTCATGTCTGGAGTAATAACGTTTCTACCAATAGATTACTTCACCACTTGACTAGTAAAGACTTCATATTAGTAACAGACGCATATGTTAGAGCGTCGTCTTATACATTTGTCTCTCTCTATTATATGAATGTTTACATTGTTGATACACGTCAGTCGTCAGTTCAAGATATCACGAACTGTATGTACATTAAAAATATTATGCAAGCGTGATAATATGATAACATAAGTGTCAATAAACCCGTTAATAAAATTAGGAAACAAATTGTACATAAAAAAGCGCCTTTTGAATTTTGTAATATTTAGAAGTTCTTTATTGAAGGATCACTGACGCAAACAAAAAAGTTAGTTAAACTAACTTGATCCACAGTTCGTATTTACTTCTTGTTGCCAATAAATGTTAAAGTGTTGGTCTCATAGATGCATTATTAAACTTTATACATAACAAAATATGGATCAATTTGTAATACGCGTAAGTTTGTATCTACAATATGAACACTGAAGGTTTATATAGCATTAGGATTACAAGAAATGAGATTATGGCTTCATAGACATATAAGAAAATAGATGTCACAAGCATTCGTTTTCTATGAAAACAAAACATGCCATATTATTGTCGACTACCTGGTCGGATCAGTTAGTAATTGTTTATTGTGAAAAAAAAAAATAGTATAGTTTTTTTATATGCACTTTTTGGTAAAAAAAGCGGCATTAGCGATCAAGTGACTGCAAAGGTCGCACTAACGTTCGCTCGATTTTTATAATAATTGCTTTTATAAAATACAAAATATGTTAAATGTTAAGATTAACAAGAAATTTCAAACTGTTTGCAAGATATTTAACTAGAGGCGGAACATTCCGATGCGGAAGAGTATCCTTTTGAAAATACCGCGTGTAATGCGACATCTACTTAACTCTATGACTGTGATTGGGTCACTGTTTGTAAATTTGAATATTGAACGTTAAGTATAAATATTCATGGTAAACTTTTGTTTGGAAAACAAAGTTGCGTTAGTGTTGTCGAATTGTAAATAACATGTTGCAGACATGATGGCAACGTGTTGCCAAGTTCATGGCTAATAAATATTAACAATTATTAGTAATATTTTTTTCAGTTTATCAAGAAATAATAAAATAATGCAGTTAAGTCAAATTTGCTCAAGTAATATTTTGCAACAGATAGACATTTAACACATTCACGATCACAATAGAAACTTAATTATTTACAGACTCTATTGTACAAAAGGGATATTGAAATGCAGTTATAGTTTAGGAGTACATAGGCGGACATATTCTATAGAGGAATTTCTTCCACTTAGCAATTGTTATTAGGTTATTATAGTTGTAACAGTATCTCTGTGAACATATTCAAGATTGTTTCCAGCAACCTTCATGAATGTTAACAATGAAATCGATTCTGGCACTCCACTCTCTAAAATTATTTCTAATAGTTTAAATTTTAAATCAATAGTTTAGCGAACATTCTATAAATAGTTACGTTTAATGTATTTCTGGTCCAAATCTATAGTAAATTTGGTTTATAACGACTTCTCTGTAATATAAAACTTCAGTTTTAGTCTTAACTAGTATTACAACATAATTTTTTTCAATACATTCACAAGTACATTGTTATGCATACATTTGTTGCATTAAACTAACACTTTTTTGCTTTTTTAATTTAAAGATTCTTCATGTAATATAATATAACTAATTATATTAATTAAAAAAATTAGAGATCAGAGTTCCAGAGACGATCTTAAAATTTATCATGTGTTGCTAATTAAAAGTTTACCATGGATAAGTATCTTTATGGCTAAGGACATAGGGCTCGGTGTCGCGTGACGGGAGCGAGGCGGCAGCGGGCGGACGACGGCGACGCTTTTCACCGCTCCTCGAGCATCACTGTCTCTTGCGGGTATAATTTGAGAGCTTTCAGTGTACTGCTGTGAGATTCTGTTGTTAACTGCAAGAAACGGTATTTAAGTTAAGCAACTTTTAAAATAAGCATGAGCTTTGTATGTATGTAAGGGATCATAAATAAATAGTTAACTGTCTAATCATAAATAAATGTATATAATTTATTATTGTTTACAGTAAGCAGCTGTATAGCTCAGTACTTACGTCTCTTCTAGGCCAGCTAGATATAACTTTATAATTTTCTTGTGGGTATCCTTTAGAAGCGAGGAAGTCTAACAGTGCCTGAAAATAAACATATGAAATTGAGTGACATAATATTTACTGTTGTTTATTACATCTTTAGAGTTGTGTGGGCTTGGCATACAATGGGCCACTCTTTGCTTTTTCCCTGTCTTAAGAGGCAATTAAGGGAATTCAATGGTGGAGGGATTGGGAGCAGTGTTTCTCTTAAAACATCATTAAAGCCTAATTGCGGTTGCCAACCCGCCTGACAAGAGTGGCAACAAATGACAAAATTTTATGGGGGAGGCTTATATTCAGCAGCCAACAGAGGGAGACTTTGTACAAAAGTCGATTGCTTGGTTACCTCTGTCCCATTCGTGTTTCTACCGTGAAACAGTTGTGTTTACATAGCTGTGTATATGGCGTGAATTTACAGGGTACAGAGGAATAACACCTGAGTCCTCAGGAATGGCAACGCACGGGGATACCCTCCATGGGCGAAACAGTATACTCTGTTATGTCCATGGTACTGCTCATGTCTATAGGCGACGGTTTCCACTTTCCATCAGGTGGGCTGTCAGCTTGTTTGCCATTCTAAGTCGTATAAAAAAATATTTATTTATAGTTCTGATAACATCATTAGATCTTTGTTTAACTTACTTAATTATGTAGGTTGCTTCATAACAGAAACAGTAAAATATCCCATTATTACTGGGAAGCAACAGATGAGTGGATGAGTTTTGGTGGTTGATATAAATCAATAATTAAATTATAGGATAAGGATGAATGACACTTACGGTGCATCATCAAAAACAAATGAGATTAACATAAGAAGATAATGTCGCTACAGCTCGAGCTGGCGACAGTAGGCTGTACTGTTTTGTTACTGTTAATGGAATGGTAACCGCGACTGCGCTAATGGTATAATACGCTGGCGGGGCAGTGACAGATGATAGGTGAGATAATAGAGCAAGACAGTCCATTGTGATGAATACACCAGGAATTTAGCACGATGGTTTCCAGGTGGGACTACGTGGAGGTGGACCTGAGACTACGTGGAGGTGGACCTGACAGGGTATATTGCTAGCAATAGGACTAGTAGTCTGCATTTTTTTTAATGGATAATAATGGAATGGTGGTTGGTACTAATCAGAGATGATAGGTGAGGATTAAAAGGCAGGTCAGTTGGCCCGTCGTGACGTATCAACGATAAATTAGTCGCGATAGTTTCCAGGGGTCCGCGTGGAGGTCGACCTGATAGAATATATTGATATCAATAGGGACCAACCTCCCCATCCCTTCAACCCATTATCCCTGGTAGTCCACATTATTAAGAATCCCAGTAGGCAGTGCTAGGTACCTGCAGCGTATCATGCGGCTGGAAGCGCCGCTCGAGCAGGTGGTGGTGCGGCGGCGGCAGGCGGACCCGTATGCGTGCTACGTCGCTCGCCGCCGCCGGCTCGGCGGGCACCCGCGCCGCTGCCGCTGATCGTGCTGCCTGCAAATGACGGCGATTCGGTTAATTGGCTACTGTACTAGAATTTTATTCAACCACTAGCTGTATCCCGTGGCTTCGCTTCCGTGAATCAATATAAAAAGTGTACTAAGTCAGGATGTAAACCTATCTTTGTACCAAATTTTATTTTAACCCATTCAGTAGTTTATGTATGAACGAGTAACAAACAAACATCCATCTATCGTTACAAAGTTCCCCAGGATATTTAGGAAACAGTATATTTATTTAATACTTAAATTCAAATTTTCACCAAGCTTCATCGTTATTTCATTAAATGATGAAGCAATTGCTAAATAAATAAGAGAAAAATAATATCATTTATACCTCTTTTCTCGCTTCCTCTAATTGTCGTTCTGATTCTGCCCTTTCTAATTCTTGATTCCTTTCTAGTTCCTGTTGTTTTTTTATTTCTTCTTTTGCTCTGTAAGATCAAATATTTGTTAATTTTAACTATAAATTAAAATAATGTAATTACATTAAACGCAACGGGATGATTTTTCTGTCACCATATAGCTGAGCTTGCACAACTTTTGAATGAAGTGTATCATACGGCAGTAAAATTACAGGGTACATAGGTGTTATACCTACCTTAGTCCATGGGAATGGCAACATGTAATGCTCATGATGCTATACATATGGCTGGGAAAAGGGGAGGTTACTGGTATGAGTGTATACTCATACCGTAGCATCCACTTAGTATATGCATGTGTGTCTGTATGTATATGTATGTGTATATATGCATATCTGTGTATATATGTATGTATAAAGATATAAGTTTAGTATATAGAATTAGGATATAAGTTTATAATTGTTTAAAAAGCTGTATGTACAAGAGCGCAAAAGCAGCAGACAAACTGCAATGCAGTTTCGCAACACTAAGAATTTATACTGTCTATGTAACTGTTTACTTGAAATAAATAAATAAAATAATATCAATAGGTGAAAATTCCCATTTTTCAACTAGTAGACTGTCAGTTTACTTACTACTTCAAGTGGCATTAAGAAGGAACAGTTGTGATATAAAATAAACAACGTGCCTGTCAGCCTCGAGGCTGCGCTGGTAGGCCTCGTCCTGTTCGCGCTTGACCCGTTGTCGCGCGTCGCGTTCTCGTTCAAGGCGGGCGTCATGGTCGCGCTGCGCCGCGAACCTCTCCAGCGCCTCCATCAATCCGCCCAGCAGCTCCGACACGCCCACATTACCTAGGAAACACGTTATTTGTTAAAGGCTAATGCACGTTTGTTCATAAAACTAGTTTTTACCGGCGACTTCGTTTCGATTCGATACGTTTACTGACCGAAATAAAAAGTAGCTTACCTCTCTTCATCCCATACATGTATATTAAATTTCATAGTAATTGTTTAAGCTATTAAACTATAAAGGAGAATATAGGCAAACTTAAATACTGCATATAAATAGCGACTTTGTTTTATATATCTAGAAAGTATGGACTCCATACTCAAGATAGAGACATGACTTGTGATACGACTGTGCTGGGGTCAAATAAAAATAATATTGAATACATGGTTTACCTGATAAGAAAGAAAGGTTTTATAATTTGTATGGAACCGAGACATTTTCACAACAGAGAGCGAGCGGAAAAGAAAGTTGTTAAATCTTGGCCTAATTTTTATTAATTTATTAAAATACTATTTCTAATAAAATTGTTTAATAGTTAATTCATTATTCTGACTTTAACAGATGTCAAAGTAAAGATAAATTTATTTGCATAAACATGCAATGTGCAGTAGGTACATACTGGGTATTTTAATAATGTTACAGTTCGAACATGTTTTGCCAATATTAACATGCACATTTTTTTTGCAAATTATATAATGCCAATAATAACATAATAATAATAACAAATAAAAGTAACTTAATGCCATGAATACTATAATATGATGCTTAATACACTCACCATTGATAACGGAATATATTTCGGTGTTGGAGCGAACTCGCATGATGATGACTAGTGCTGGTAACCGATCCATTGGGATACTGCGTATTGTCATACTCGCTACCGGGCCCAGTGCATTCGCCACTGAATTTAATAACCTGGAGGTGGGCATTCGTAAATTAATAATTTAAGTAAATTAATTTCATTCACAACAAAATGGAATAGAAATGCCTGCCTGTCATAAAAATTGTCTAAAATTTTAAAGCTAAACAAAACAAACATTTGTGTTAAAATAATTAAAGAAATATTGCCAAAATAATAATAGTTCTTTTATTGGCGAAACAGTATACTCTGTCATGTCCATGGTACTCATGTCTATAGGCGACGGTTACCACTTTCCATCCATGTATAAAAAAAAAATATTATTCTGATTTTGTTCAAAAAGTAGTAAGTTGTTCAGACAACATAGGATTATGTTGTATGAACCATATAAACAGCTTGATTCTTGATATAAACATATAAAATTTTAGTAGCTGCTCAGATATATGCAGATATACCCAGGATCACCTGGGTGACTAATATAATTTGATTTTTTATATAATTAAAAGTGATGTAAACTTATTGCCTACTTCATGAAACCTCTATCCTGTGTGTTAATAGAACAACTATATACACAGTGTTGGCTGTTACACAATTGGTAAATTTCTTTCTAATTATATTTATTTCTTGTTTTAACATACATGTTATTATTGTCCGGATGTGTGAGGTCCCAGCCATAGACAATGAAGTTGGTGGCTAGGGTTTGCAACACCGCCTCGCAGCCCAGCAGCTGTGCGCAGAACACATTCGACAGCACTGACTGCTCGTGATGTAGGTACAACCCTAGCAGCTTCCTCTGTTGAATACATATTACAGGTTATAAATAACTTCTACACACTATTGTGAGTCGCTGTTTCGCCAGTTAATCATAATATCAGCTGTTAGCTGTTTATTGCTAAACATAGGCCTTCCCATAAAGGGGTTCTTTGCTAGTAGTTGCCACGCTTGGCAAGTGCTTTAGAGGAGCTTTTGGCGGAGAGACCGCGCAGAAATCTTCCTGTTAATTAAAAATAATGTGGATGCTAAATTCTATTGCTAACAAATCTTCCTAGCCGTGTTTGAATAATCGACACGACATATTTATGTATGATTCGTTGATGTTGCGTACAGCGTATACTGGTAGCGCAGGCGAGGTCACTATTTCATTTTTACTCATTAAAAGATAAAAGTACCTCTTTGGCAGGCTTCAGACAGGCCTCTTTGATCGCATCTTGTAGTGTACCCTCGAAAAAGTTTGGTGTGTTCGGTCCATACCGCGTGCGGAAGCGCTGCGCGAATTCTATACAGCCCAGCGCCTCGTCCTCCACGTGGTCTGACACTGTGGCAATATTACATGTATATTAAAATGTGATAAAATCATTACAAATGGAAGCACCAAAGCTCGAATTACATTAATGACCAAATGTTTTACTTATATATCTAAAAATAATTAAAAAATAAACAAATTAATAATAATATATCTTAAAATATATTAATAATTATTAATCCATTACAAAAGATGAATTTACCAAAATTTGAGCTCAAAAATTACCTAACAGAGAAATATTTTATGAAGATGTAACCTATATACATATGGACATGGAAAATGGAAAGTATAAGCTGGATAGAAAAGTAACGAATGAGGAAGTCTTGAAAAGGGTGAATGAGAAGAGAACAATATCAAAAACAATAGAGAACAGAAGATTAGATTAGAAGCTAGGTCATCTTATTCGAAATGACTGATTTTTTAAAAAGTAGAAGGAAAAACAGAGGCCAAGAGAGGAAGGCGAACACCGAGGAATAACTACATGGGATAGAGCTGGCTGGAAGAAAATGCATGAATTAGTTGCACCGACAAGAGGAAACTCTTAAATGAAAAGAAGAACCTATACTTTAAAATAATGAATGAATATTTATCTATATACCAAGAAGCCGCTTTACATGAATAAATAATAATTTATAATTTATTTTATATAACCCACTTGAATGTAAATTTAGCTCCCATTTTCGCACTAAGCCTCTCATTAGAGCTATTGTACATGTGAGTTATGGCTAATATAGCCAGTCCAGTTGCACCCAGAAGTACAGAAGCTTCCCAGTATCTTCACAGGTCTCACTGTGTAATCCATCAATAAGTAAATCATATTTATATTCGTATAAAGCGACCCTCTTAGTCCCTCACAAATTAGACAGAGATCATCAGATTACCAAATCCTCCATCCTTACATACATCTCTTGCTTCAATCACTTTCATAACTCATACTTGAACGTCAGTTCTATCTGATCATGATACGCTAGTGTCGGTTTTCCATAGTACCTGTAATAAAAAATATTTTCACAGACAACTACAACGTAAGACTAGTCAGAGCCAGAGAGAGAGAGAAAATATATGTATACTAATATTATAAAGAGGAAAGATTTGATTTTTGTATATTTGTTTGTAATGGAGAAACACTACTTAAAACTGATCTTAAAAAATCTTTTAGATATAGAAAGCTATATTATCTGCAAGTAACATAGGTTATATATATTTTTCATCTATCTATGGCCAATTACTAGTCATCTATAATAATATTATGATGAGGAAAGATTTGATTGTTTATTTGTAACAGATAAACTCAAAAACTACTCCACCGGTTTAAAAAAAATCACCTATAGAGAGCTATATTAATTGCCAGCCACAGTTACATATTATTTTTGAAAATTCTATGTATCCGTGCAATAACAGATCGGATCGCTAGTTATAATATAGTTATATTCTACTCACTGAGTGGCTGTAACCTCTCCGGGTGTACTAGATCAACAAACATGTCGTCTTCGCCGGTGAACACGTCGCCTGAGTCTTCTATCTCCTCTATTGAACTGTTTTCACTATCTGAACTTTCTAATATTATCTGTGAAAAAATAAATTTGTGTTGTCATTATATATTACTTATATTATTGTTATAAACTCATATAATATATAAAAAAATAGTTAAAAATAGAAGTTAATATAAAAGTTATATATATATTTTTTATATTAAATGTATCTTGAATTACATAAAAATATTTGTATAATATTTTCATCTCAAAAATATTAATTTTATCAAAATAATATATATGTTGATTAATATTTTGATAAGGTTATATAATCGTCATCATCTCAGCCCCATAAACTGCAATAAGGAACGGTCCTGAGCCACCTGCATCCCCTGACTCGCTGCAATGCATTTAAGGTCGTCACATCATAATCTAGTGTGGGGTCATCCTACACTGCTTCTGTCGTACGTAAAGTTATATAACAGGGTAAAATCATTATCATTGGCATTCTTTTAAAGGAGTATTTACTTCAGAGTATACTAGATATATGAAAAAGAATAAAGCGCTGCAGATTAGAAGATGAGTGGATGAATTAAAAAAAAACTTTATGGAGGAAGAAATAGAGCTAAAAGAGGACAAGCTGACGTCGATTATTATAGATTTAAAATTGATAAGTTTATACAATAAGAATTTTGTAAAAAAAATATATCTAAATATTTCCATTTTAGTTTGACCACTTGACTCGCCATATCAGTAAAGGAAACTAAAAAATTTAAATTGCCTTACAATCCAAGTTAATTAAAAAAAAATACTGTAGTTGTAACTCACTATCTTAAAATAATTTTGATGTCAACGACAGGTATGAATGAATGAATAAGTATACTTCATTTGTATTATACAATATAGGAAATAAGCAAGACTATTTATAAATATAACGATACAATTGTATAAGTACAGGTAATTACCCTTTCATACTCCTTCTTATTATTGCTGGGCGCCCGTTTGACTGTGAGCTGATGTTGCGGCAGATCTAGCCCCACCATCGCAAGGACTGTGTCGTCTAGACCTGTCACCGTTGGCCATCCCGTCCACACCTGTTGTATTATAAGTTATTAATATAATACGCTAGTGAAATGCCTTGGTGTCACATAAGCGCAAATTACTAATATATTGTATGTACAAAACAAAGGTAATTTTTTTTTATTGACAGTGGAATCCATATTTGTTGTTTCAATTGTTACAAAACCAATTATTTCAGTGAAAAAAATAAATTTCTGAACCAATTTTGATAAATTTTCTACTATTTCCCTATTTTTTTTCTGGGACCTATAGAGGACCTTTAGATACCCCTTTCAGATAAAAAAAAAATTCTAATTGGTTTAGAACTGATAGTTATGAGGTAAAAAATAAAAAAATACAAGTAAATTACATAGGAAATGGAATATTATTATATAAAGGAAAATACAAAAATAGAAGCGTCACTCACCTGATGTCGCGCGGGTATGTCTGTGAGTGAGTAGATGTCGTTCTTGACCTCCTGAACGGTTTTGGTGCCCGGGTACGTTAATGTGTACTCTTTTTCGTCGTGTTTAATGCGTAGTATATATGATGTCGTTAACCGTTCTGCCATCCTGGTGTTTAAAGGGTAAATAATTTAATTATTTTTGTTTTTCATTTAAATATAATATACTTTTTTTCAGAAGTCCAGAAAATGAAATATTTGCACCTATGATAAATTTATATATAAGAATCATTATCATCATGTCAGCCGTTATAAAATTTATTCAGTTTATGCAACGATTTTGAATGTCAGGGAAATACCAATGGATACATACTCATCATCAGCCATAAGCTGGTCGGCCGCTTTCAACCGCAGCACCGCGTTCGGGGCCAGACCAAGACTGCCGAGGGCGGCGGAGGACGTGGCCCGCGAGCCGCCCAGCCCGGAGATCTGTTGTCGACACACTGGCACACCGCATACTGATTCTAGCCGTTTTTTTAAATCACCTGGGGAAAATATTAACTGTTAGTGCAGTAGGTAATGTCGTAAGTCGCAGTCACTACGTTTAGATCCAATTTTAATATTATAAAGCACACAGAGTTAAAAATATACAAATATATTGTTTATTTTCAACTAAGCAGTCTAATACAGCTTTTGGCAAAGTGTCATTTTGACAAAAAGGGAGTCATCTTTTAGATTATTTTAATTAAAAATGTAATATATAATAAATTATTATATATTTCATTCAAGATATACCAATACTGATCATAATAATTTATATGCTATTAAATATTTGTACGCTGGAAACAGTACAATACAATAGGGCTTTATTTACTACATAACGTCATCTTGTACCTGTTCTAGCAAATATTTTATTATTCGAGTATATATAAGATTATGTTGCGATCAACTGTGATCTATCGAAATCAAGAATCACTAAAATCGGCATAGAACATAATATAAAAAAATATAGTCAATTACAGAACCTCCTTCTTTACTTAAAAAATAATATTAAGTTGAATAACTACGGGCATTCTATTATTTATGAGTACTGAATACTTACTGACTGTTGCTACACCTGACATTTTTATTTCATGTATTTTATTGTTACAGTGAACTTGAAGCTCTACCATATCAGACGAACTATTTCTAGGAGACGAAGTTGAAGCTTGATTGCTATCTTCCCGATCTGGAACAAGTTAGTTACTATTTAGAGGACATGTATAAGATATTTTATGCTTTTAACTGACTTTATACGTGCTTTTTTATTTATAAAAATGTCAAATCTCTCATAAATCTATTTTAGCTCTTGAAGTGTTTTGCCTTTTTCTTTTGCATTAAATTTTTAAATTAAAAGAAAGATATAAATCATTTTAATAACTGAAAAATATGTTTGCAGGATATTTTAGTTTTTATTTATTTATAATAAATACATATTTTTGGTGAGCTTTATTGTTTTACCAATACACTCACCAAAAACAAAAAATATTACATTATAATAGTACATTCATGGGGAAATAATATTCATATAAAATGTGATTAAACTTAAAATGAATATTAAAAATGCAATTCTGCGTGATTTGTTACTGCCCTGCGAAACTCTTTGGCAATACAGTGAATAAAGTCCAGTTGTGAACTAGCAACTAACTTATTAAGCAGACGTAGCACTCTCGTTAGTGGCGTCTGATCAGCATGGAATGTCTTGTTGGGAGGTAGGGTAAAAATTCCGTGATTACGGTCACACTTACTAAGTGACTGACTAAATACCACTGGGGACGATACGGGCACGAAAATATTTGTAGGGTAAATCCGACTGGGGCGGCGTAAAGGTTAATTATTTTGTAGGTTCAAGATAACAAATGACGATTATCTCTCGCACGCCACTTGTGGGAACATACTTTCTTATGAACAAAGAAACGTATTTGGGTAATGTGCATTACCCATTTACTTTATCTATCATAATACATAAGTATGTTATTAACAGTTTTAAATATAATCGCCAATTATTACATATAAGAAATTATTAGGCTTGGGTATTCTGAAAAGCTGCGTGGTCTCGGCAGAGAATATGCCACCCCTTCCTATCCCGTGGGTGTTGTAAGACACGACTAAAAGAAAGCGAGGGTTGGGCAGCAGCGTCCTTCTTAAAACATCTCTAAAGCCTAACAGCGGTTGTCAAATTGCCTGCCAAGCGTGGCAACTACTGGAAGAAAACCCCCCCAACGGCGAGACTTATTTAAGCAGTAAAGTTATCGGCCGTTACTCGTATGATTATGTGTATAAGAATATTAAAGCTGTACATCCGCCAATCCATAGACAAAATATTATAATGTTGGTAGCATTAGCAGTATTATTAAAAAAAATATCAGGAAGCAAAAACATGATAATTAGTGTGACAGAGGTCAGACACAGGTAGGTGAATTCAATGCTGCCAGGTATTACGATATTGATAGCTTTAAGTGTACAGTTATGATTATTGAAATCTGGGATCTGCTCTTATAACTTAGGACAACTTAGTTTGAAGACCAAATGGTATAAGTAGTACTGGTGTGAGGGATTATAAAGATTTATTTAACAGAGGATGTTTGTATAAGCACAGCAATAGCAATGATTCCTACGCTAGACTGAGCCTGTCCTGTAGGAAACAGGATTCGTATTATCATATACATGCATATAGAAATAAACATAGGCTTTCTAGTAGTACTAATAATTGTTTACTTACTAATTTATATAAAGTAATTAATTTTATTTAAATCTTATAAGAGATTATTGACTATGATATATGACTATGATTGTGTTAACATTGAGAAACGGAGGGTGTCTATGTTATTCATTTAACACTAATAAAAAAGAGGTTATGTGGAAAATTAATAACATAAATAAAAACCATAAAATAATTATATTTTTATTAATTAATTATGTATTATATATATTAGTAATTTCCTAATAATATTATGTGTTTCGCCGTATAATCCCGGTATAGAATAGGTCACCTTTTCCTTTCTCGTCGGTACTGTAAGAGGCGAATAAGGGAACTTGACAGTTGAGGGATCGGCAGCAGGTTATGTTTTAAAACATCACTAAATTCTAACTGTGGTTGCCGACCCGCCGGCCAAGCGTGGCAAGAATTGACAAAACTCGTTTTTATAGGGGATGCTGTACTCAGCAGTGGACAGTTATTTATTTATTTAAAGTTAACTACTGACATAAAGATGATAATTATAAATGTGAAAATATTTGGAAATTTTGTGCATATGGGCCATATTCCAGATATTGTTTTTAAAACTTATGTTCATATTTTAACGATGTCTGTATACATGGACAACAGGAATGTTATGAATAAGGTGAGATGCTGTAACGCAAAGCGCCGTATGCTCCCTTAAGAAAACTTCCGGATGAAGTGGAAACTATTGTCAGAAAAGACCTACACAGCAAGTTCATAAAATTTCCGTTGTGCATATGTATCTCAAATGGCACTTTTTACCTAAATACATGTTTTAATTTTTTTTATACTACTTAGATTGGCAAACAAGCTGACGGCTTACGTGATGGAAAGTGGTAATCGTCGCCTATAGACATGAGCAGTACCATGGACATAACAGAGTATACTGTTTCGCCCATGATACCCACCCCCCCATGCGTTGCCATTCCTGAGGACTCAGGTGTTATTCCTCTGTACCCCGTAAATTTACGCTAATGTGGGCTAAGCCATGGATTTCAGTTAGTTTTTAATAAAGTTTAAAGCTGTTGAAATTAAAAGTATGTGTAAGGTGATAAAAAAGTCGTCATAAAATGTAGTGGTTGGGAGAGGAAACGGATTGTTAATAATGGGTTCTAACAGCTCCATTGCTGTATTTCAATATACCCTATTAGGTCGTTCCCCTGGAAACCATTGTGGTTAATTCTTGTCGAATTCTTCACGATAGGCCCACTGACCTGCCTTCATCCTCATCTATCATCAATCAGTCCAGCTTATACCGATATTGTAGGTGAGGTTACCACTTCATTTTACCAGAGGGGACTTTGTACAAAAGTAATTTGATTGGGCACCTCTGTCCCATTCGTGTTTTTACCGTGAAACAGTTGTGTTTGCATGGCTGTGTTTCGGTTTGGTGGGATATGGCAGTGAGTTTACAGGGTACAGAGGAATAACACTTGAGTCCTCAGGCACGCATAGGGGGTACCATGGACGAAACAGTATACTCTGTTATGTCCATGGAACTGCTCATGTCTATAGGCGACAGTTACCACTTTCCATCAGGTGGGCCGTCAGCTTGTTTGTCATTCTAAGTTGCATAAAAACGCATTTAAAAAACAAGTAGTGATTAAAACATAATTCATGAAAACATACTGGAATATCTTTATAACGTCTTTTTCAGATGAGATAATAATTTATCACGATGTAACTAACACCTATCGTGCTTGATAAATTTGAATGTTTAGAACAAACACATCTGTGATATACATAACTCAAGCATACTGTGAATTGTGAAGGGCAAACTTCTTTATTAGGTACTATGATACAGTTTTAAACAAATATTAATATGATGAAACATACTGGCTGTAATCATTTTATTTATTCACTTATGACTATAGTTTATTAGGTACTTCAATTGAATTTTTTTAATGGAATGAAAATTTTATTTTTATTTAGTAAACATATCGTAAACAAAGTAGATTTTGCTTCAGAATAAAAAAATAGACATTAATGGTGACCTAACTAGTTATTTTAATTTTATAACCAAACTACTAAACTGATTTTGATGATATTTCTTTCTAAAACATATCCTTTTAAATAAAAATAAAAAAAAATTCTAAATCAGTTTATAGTATTAAATAATAGTATAAGTTTCAAATGAATTGAGGAAAAGGTAAATTTCAAGAAGAGCAGAAGCATTATTATAGGAATATCTAGGATTTTTATAGTAATATGGTTAGGATAATGAGGAAAAGAAACAATCACAAAGAAGCCAGAAAGTAACGTGAGACTATACAAAGTTATTTGTGTGATTATTTATATATATGTCACTATGAAACTACTAGATGTAGAAGTATGATGTAGAAGTATATAGTATGAAACTGTTTTTTTTTTTTAATAATTACATATCTGTTATTCGATAATGTTATAAAAAAAATTATTCAAAATAATCTTCAATATTATTTATACATTTTTTTTAATCCTCTCTGGTAGTTTATGAATGCTACACAAAAAAGTTCTTCTTTTGAAGCAAACTAATTACAATGCCATTTTTATACAAACTGAAACAGTGAGAGCATGTCCCTAATGTAATGTTAATAGATAATAATCAGATAGAGCCAAGTCTGGAGAATAAGCCGCATACTCTAACTTCTCCCATTTTCCCTTGGCTTGTTTTAGTGAATGATGGGGCATAGTGCCCCTGAAGAAAAATGGCTTTGTGTTAATTTTTGACATATTCTGGTTATTTTTCACATAATGTTTTATTTAAATTGATTATTTGCTATTGGTATAGATCTGTATTATCAGATTTACCAGGATATTATTACATCATATAACATTATACCCTTTCGATCCCATCAAACTGTGAACTTATTGGTGGATTCCCACACTGTTAAAAAAGATAGTGTTGTAGAAGTGGTCTTATAGGGTTTCAACTTATGACTAGTACCATCTATAAGTAAATTTCGGTTTCATAATTCTACACTTGCGATATGGTTGCATTTATTAGTAATAATTAATATTTAAATAGCACTATAGTTTTTTGTTATTATAATTATTTTAGTCTTATTCAAATCCTATGTTGTGATATGTGATGACATTGTTTTTAAACAGTTTTTACTATAGAGCTTTCGATATGGTGTTGATTTTCAGTTATAATTATTTTAATTCATGTTTTTATAAATAGACTTTGACATAATTTTAAAAAGATTTTGATATTACCATTTGTCTCTTGTCCTTCATTATTCAAATAAATATACACAATTCTCTCTGTATCAATTTTTACTTTTTAATAAGCACTTACCATATCAGACTATTTACAACAATTCAAGATCTATTCATCCCTGTCTCAATGTCATACATGTCAGGAACAACAAGTGATATACCTATTATTACATATAATCATAGACTGCAGTTACTATTTACGATCAGGGAAACTACAAATTTGTTTGCCACCCTCCATAAAAGAAACTACATTGTGGATAAATAAGTTCTAAAATTGTTACCTGGTGGGTGTGTTTTTGGAGTTATCACAGATATGTCGTCATCTATCATTTCAACATCGTGAGTGTCTTCAGTCTGCTGAGATGAGCTGTTACCATCTTGTGGCATCACTCGATTGATGGCTGCCTGGGGGTACAGTCATCACATTAATAAGTTTTATAGAAGTAATTATTGCACATAATCTTACATGTTAGTCATATGAGGAAAGTCAAAGTCACTTTGCAATCTATAGCCTGTCCATATATTTAAAGTTTACATGCATAGTGTAATCCAAAATGAGTCAGCCATATCAGTTCAACCAACCAACAAACAATGGAGAAGAAAATTATTTTTACTATAATATTTTCTATGAAGAGTAACAATGATTATATGAAATTTTAATTTAGGTAAGTATATTAAAAAGTTCTAAAACATAAAAAAAATTATACAATTTAGAATTAGCTTTATCATACAATAATTTAATGTATAAGAGAAATAATAACTTTTGTTTATGTAAAATATGCAAGGCAGTTACTATAATAAATAATAAACACAAAGGTGGCTATGGTGAATATTAATATGGTCAAGGTTACTATATCATTAATTGAATGAATTAAATAGGTCACTTTGATATTTTTATTGTAACTGTTACTTATCATACTATTAATTATATTACTAAAGGTCTACTAAATATTATATTGCTGAAATTTTAAATTTGGAATTAAGCTTTTAAGTACTTACTACAAAATTTTCTATAAGTACTTAAATTAGATTTATTGTTCTAAAGATATTATAAATATAAATGTCATTATAAAACAAAAACTACATACTAGTAAGTCCCAGTTTGCTTCTTCTAAGTGGTATATTGCTTCTGCTACATCTTCTATGGCTGTTATTCCCTAAAAACGTAATATCTTTATATTAAAATCTTATTTTTCAACAACATATTAAATTAAACCTCCTACTTGACTTACTACTAACAAAATATGCTCATAAAACAAAGTAAACCACCTATCTTAGAACGTATTATACGAACGTAAATATGGTTCAAGTTCACACTGACTATGCACAAAGAACGTTTACAGATTAGTATGATAACATTGTTTCGTATATTGAATGTCACTTTTTCTTGACTACGCGAACTTACTACGCCACTGTAGTTAAATATATAATAAAAAACTAAATAAAATTGTTATAAGAGGAAAGTACAAAGAGATAAAGGAGATTTCCTAGTCACTGTTGTTGTTAAATACATAACCTTCAAAAATAGAAACTAGGTAATATTGGGCATAATGAATAATAAATTTATTAAATGAATAGGCATATACCTGAAAATTTGCTAAAATTTCTTCTCTATTTTCTGCCATTCTGATATTATTGAACTCAAAAAATATTAGTATGACATTTACAATTGCAGACAAATCACTCAAACATTGACCATAGAGTTTTTTTTTTTCATTTATTGTGACTTTGGCGAAAGATTAACCATAGAGTACTATCGTTGTGCTTATTAGTGTTGCCAACAAACAAAATAATTAAATTAAAAATATCTATGGGTTAACGTACTTGTCATAGTGTGCCTTTTGTGCATTGGCTTCGAATAATCGAATACAGAATTCGAATGCAACAAAATTTTGATTTAGTATCACGTAATATTTTCATCTTTTGTTTTAGTAATAGTTTATTTAATTAAGTATCCAAAGTGGAGTAACTTGAGTTGAGATTAGTGACTTTGATTGAACTTTTTATTTAGGCATTTGGACAAAATATTTCACGTGCATTTTTTAATTTTATATTAATTACATTTTGATACTTAAGTTTATAAATATACAATAATATTATAATTTAGGCGGGTCTGACAAATAATATATATATATATATATATATATCCGTTAGTACAATACGACTATGACGATATTATATATAGATTAAACTTCAAAGCGATAGTGCAAGCAAGCAATATAAAAACAATAGTATTTTTAAAATTTGTTAAGAGTTTTACTAAAGTCTTAAAATCTTTAAAATTGTGAACATGTCTGTTTTTTTTTTTAATAGATGAAGAATGGAATGTAAATTAACTCCTCCTCCTGCGCTAACGGTATATACTAGGAAAAAAAGAATTATTGGTAATGGGCCTTCCAATGCTAGCAATATGCCTTAATAGGTCGACTTCGGGGGGAAAGGATTGTCAGTAATGGGGAGGTTAGTTCCCATTGTTATTAATATACCCTATTAGGTCGATCTTCACTTGGTTTCCCATGGAAGATGTTGTGACAAATTTATCGTCGAATTCGTCACGATGGGCTAACTGACCTGCCTTTAAATCCTCCCCAATCATCCCTCACTGGTGTCCCGACAGAATATATGGATAGCACAGGCGGGATTATTATTTCATTATCATCCATAAAAAACAGGTCGATCTCCACGCGGTTCATCATGGTTAACTCTTGTTTATTTATCACTTTGGGGTAACATTTGGGGTAAGCTCTCTTACTCAACTGCCATTCCTCACTGGTGTCTCGCTAGGATATACTAGGATATCGCAGACGGGGTTATCATTCCATAGGTATAGGGAAAGGGATAATTAGTAATGTGGTAGTCCACATTACTAACAGTGTCTTATCCTTAACAAATCATTGTCCAAGTTCTATTAAGCTGGCAATGTCCGGTCGACTTCCAGGGTCCTACTTCCTGGAAGAAGGAAGTATCATATTCCTTTTATTACTTGGTTTTTATTTTTAAAGTAGCTTTTACCCGCGGTTTACCCGGAGATGTATTGTGACTAAGTAGCTTATATATTTTTTAATCCCATATAGTACGTGCATATTAAATCATAGCGCCTTAATGACTTAAACAATCATGTTAAGTCGTTACAGCGCTATATAATAACAAACAAACACAAGGGGGCAAAGGTTTGTTAGTAATGCGGACTACCAGTCCCATTGCTAGCAATATGCGTCTGTATAACGATATTGTAAAAACCAAACCTGAACTTGACATTCACGACGACAGTCACTCTGTGTTCATGGCTAAATTGAAATGTTGATGTACCTTGCCATTGCATTATATTTATTTATAATTTAAAATAATTTAATTACAATTTCCATTATTTATATTGTGTTATTATTCATATTGTTAATATCTTTACTTATTTAATGACATTTAATAATTTAATTCTATTTTAATGTTTATCAAACACAAGGCATGCTGTGGTTGCCTATAAATGTAAGAACAATTAGACTAATCTACCAGTGTATTGTATTGAAATGATTTGCTGTATCCTGATGAGCTGCTGATATGTTGGTAATCCTATAAATAAATAAATAAATATACCCCATCAGGTCGTGCCCCTTCCTCACTGGTGGCCTATACGCCTATATACCATTATTATTCATAAAAAAAAAGAACGCCAAGCACAGATTGATCCGAAAACCGTACTCTAAATACCTATATAAAGATTGTTAAACCATTTGATGAGAATTGATGTAAAATGTGGCTAAGGAATTTCGAAAAAATAATTATTCTTAAGAAATTGATCGCATGAATTACATTATTCGTCTCGACTTCGCACGAGTGGACATTTTTACAACATTTTGCACTTTTTAACATGATATCGTTCGAATGGAACATACCTACGATTTGAAAAATTTGATAAGTAATCTGCAGGTATTAATACAATTTTAAATACAAAAAAAAAAAAAAAAAATTAAAAAGGACTAATAAATAGGTATGAATAACATGTACAACGTGACAGCGTTATTTTTTCTAATTCTATGACTTATGAATTTCGTAATATGTATTGAATGGAATAGCCGATTTGAACAATTCAAAAAGTAATGTACATAAATTGAAACAGTTTTGAGAACAATATTCTTGATCTATTTAGATAAGGATTTAAAAAGAAGTATGAATAACATGGTGTAATTATGACCGTATATCTATCAACTTTTAAAATGTAAAAAGTGGTTATTGTGACATAACGATAATAGAGGGCATATAGTATTGCGAAGTTTCTTGTAGTTATTGATATTTTCTTCAATATTATAGAACATACTTTTGTTCTATCACCAATAAGTTCCGCAGCGCACGCGATGAAAGATATTTTATAGCATTTTTTACACCTTGAGTTACGTTACTAAAGTTTTAGTAAGAATCCCTAATCTTTTCTAGCAATAAATATAGTCTATGTTACTCAGGGTAAATGTAGCGTTCTAATGGTAAAAGAATTCTTAAAATCGGCACAGTAGTTTTTGAGTTTATTCATTACAAACATACATACAAACAAAAATACAAATCTTTCCTCTTTATAATATTATTAGTGTAGATAAAGCACAAAGAATATCACAAAATAATTATACTGTGAGGCTTATGGTATCTATCATGGGTTGTTATTCCTTAGAATTGAGTTGTTATGCTTCCTATCCCATCGTTGTGGTCCATACGAGGATATTTACGTACAATAAAATACTTAGTTAGAAACATTAAATATTATTTATTTACAGAAATTAAGTAATATGTAGATACGTCACAATAATGGCTGGCAAGCTGCGTACAAACAACTTGAGTTTCAGTTTTAGAATCAGTCGAGAAGCGCGTAAGCAGTTCGCGCACGCGCTCTCGGGCTCTATAGCTTGTTTTTGAGCTATCGCGGTTTGCGCGCGAAAATTGTGCTTTCGACAGATAAAAATTCGCGGTAAATATTTTTAATTTTATTACAATAAAAGTATTTAATAAAATAACTATTACCTAAATAATGTGTGAAGTTGTGATATTAGATCTAGCATAAAAAATATTACCTAGACATAAAAACTTAGGTAATTTAGGGATTATTTTATATTTAAATTTTATAATATACGCCAGGATAATAAAATCAAATTACACAGGAATTAATATTTGGTTGAAGTCTGCTTGTAATTCAGTGTGATTGAATTAATTTGTTTTTTATTAAAATAAATTTTATTCTTACTTATTAGAAATTATTAAAGGAAATTGTAAGAAGGGTAAAAATTGAATTCTTAATAATTGAAACCTACTTAAGTTGTCTAGTAATGTAATAAAATTGTAATTAGATAATGTCTGTACTCGGGAGATAGTTAAGAAAAAATAATATAAGAGGTTTTAATGAGATACATACGTACATACATATCTGTCACGCCAGGCTCCCATTAGGGTAGGCAGAAACAATGGAACGCCAAATGCTTCGCTTTAATGAGATTATAATTTTTTTTTATATTTTGTATATTTGTCTGTGTTTGTATTTTTGTTCTGACATCATGCAAAAACTATTGCAACAAATTAGGTGCAATTTAAACAGATTTCTGAAGGTCTAATAAAAATATGTTTCGTCTTGATGCGTCATCTAGAAATGGACTACTTCGTTGGTTTCTGTACTTCTGAAATTTACGTGTATAAAGTAGGGAGTAGGAGGCTGGGATTATATACTTACTTATTATTTGTTATTGCAGTTACGGTTATAAAAACAGCAATATCTCCCGGAAATATATGTATGAATAATTTTAGTTTAACTATAAAACAGATAAGGAAAATCGGGCTGCGAGCAAAAATTACGATAATAATGGTTTCGGTGGCAACGGTCATACGTAGTGGCCCATTTATTTAGGATTTCGGTTGCGATATAAATTTATTGATATCCATTGTTAGATGTCTATTTAAATAAAAATGAGTTAAATACTATAAGCAAGTAAGCAGGTATATTAAATGAATAAACGTTAGTTAAAGTTAGATACTTAGATGTACCATATTTACTAGCTTACGTTCACTTCTAAAATTATATTAAAAAAAAAAAGTAAACTGTTTTCAACTTAGAAAAAAATATTAAAAGACCAACACGTTTAATTAAAAAAAAGTTCATCAAATTTGATTTATATTTGGAAAAAGATTTAGAGTAACTAATAATATAGTTTAAATGAGAAACTTTCCCTTTTTTTTTTAACTCAGTATAATTACTAAATTTGTAGTTTTGGTTAGTACCAGATTGATATAGACAAGAGTACTTAGATTATAAAGTTAGTATTTGCGTTATACTATGTCTATGTATAGATAAATGGTATAAGTATTAATTTTCATTTTCATATTAGAGCCTTTTTCCAAATATAGACAGAGACTAGCTATTTCCCGCGGCACTGCCCGCGTGAATCGGTATATAAAATATCTTATGAGTTAAAATATGATATATAATCTACCTTCATAAAGTTTCCGCCAATTCAACTGATCGGTTATTTTATAGCATTTTATATGTGATTCTTTAGACAGATATAACTTTTTTATTTATGAACCGATTGAAATAAAACGAACATTAAATGTTAAGTGGATCAAACCATAATGAATTAGTAAAAAGCGCATTTAAATCGGTTAAGTCGTTTCTGAGATTATCGTGCACAATCTTATAGACAAACAGACATATAAACAAACAGACAAAAATGCTAAACGTCATTGTTTTGAGTTCATAAAGCCTCCCTGTAATATTTTTTTTATATATCTTCCATGTACAAATAGCGACCAGGTACGATTTTATATTCTTATTGTATGGCATAAACTACAACTAAGATAATTTTATTTGTAAACTTCAGCAGGTAACATGGCTTTTACAGCCGTGTGTGCGCGCTTCTTGGCGTTGCTATCCTTAACGTTGAGTTCGTATGCCCTCACCATGGATGAAGGTAAGCAACATCACATTGTGTACGTATGACACAGCGTGGGTATGGAGTTCTTTTATATATGTAGATATTAAAATAAAAAGAAAAAATGCTCATGACCGTAATTTTAGACGAAAAAGTTTTTATTATGCAACTTGGTATGGTCATAGAAAAAAGAAATTCCTTTGTCTATGGTATGGCCATAAGAATAAACGAATGGCAAACAAGTTAATGACTCACTCGATGAAATATATCTTTTACTATAGATAGAATTGTAATACTATCATTAGTAGATTTATAAGAACAATATTATATGTTTTACAGAATACACTGTTAATATCATGATTCTCTTTATGTATTGCCATTTTTGACAACAAATGGAGATATGTATTATCATGCCTCCATAGTCAGTATCATGCTAGAGACATTTATCCACTTTTGGCCGTAACATTCGATTCGCCCACATGTCATCGACCATACATGTATTTAAATTCATCATGGTAGCTGATGTATAATAATGGCGTTATACATTGCCAGAGAGTTAAAAGTATTTAAAAATTGATATATAGGCGAAGCGATCGATAATAGTTTCATTAGGGGGACTGTCAGCTCGTTTTTCTTTAACTAAAAAAAACATTATCGAATCTAATTCGATTCTTTAACTTTTATACGCCATATTGTTGGCGTGAACAGGATTTTTTTAATGGGTGATAATGGTATGGAAACCCCATCCGCGCTATCGGTATACACCGGCGGGGCACCAGTGATAGATGACTGATGAGGATTTTTTTTATACAACTTAGAATGGCAAACAAGCTGACGACCCACCTGATGGAAAGTGGTAACCGTCGCCTATAGACATGAGCAGTACCATGGACATAACTGGTATGGTATACTGTTTCACCCATGATACCCCCATGCGCTGCCATTCCTGAGGACTCAGATGTTATTCCTCTGTACCCTGTAAATTCACGCCATATCCCACCCTTCAAACTGTAACACAGCCATGCAAACATAACTGCTTCACGGTAGAAACACGAATGGGATAGAGGTACCCAAGCAATCGACTTTTGTACAAAGTCTCCCTCTGGATGAATGCGTGAACAGGATATGTTCATTGTTTTTGGATAAAAAGTAGCGTCTATCCTCATCCATTAAGTATTTGTAGGTATACTGATTTCATAGCGATTGGTTAAGTCGTTAAAGTGTTTAGAGGTAACATACAATCTCACTTTCACCTTTATAATATTAATAACGATTCATTCAATATTAGTAAAAATTCAGTTTAATTTTTTATGAAAGTTTTGCGTATGGTTATTAACGCAGCGGTAAACTAAACGCGGTCCCCCGTTCCGTTACTATTTCCGTACTCATTAGACAGATGCGAGAAATAGAATAGGTACACCAAAATACAGGATGATTAACTGCAGCGACGGAACTGCCGTAGGCGGGCGAGCCGCTGAACTTGCTGAATAAGTCATTCCCAAGTCAAGTTCCCAGTTCTCAAATCGTTCAAGTAATTTGGTTGGCACTACAAACTGTCATTTGTCAATGTAAACGTCTCTTTAGCTATTGGGCATGATTTGTGATGATACTAATTACTATATATGTATAAATATATTCGATAAATATAATCCATTTGGAACAGTATTGTAGGTACCCGACCATTTAAGGGTTAAAATTGTCTGTAGCGAATATAAAGTGCTTACTGACTGTATACTCTTTAGATCCTTTACGTTAAATTTAGATAGATAAATAATTTAATTTAATTTGCATAAGTTATAGCACACAAATAACAACAGACATAGATAGATATGCACAGTGAAAAAAGATAAAAGAATACATGCATATACAAAAAATAAAAATGCAAATTGTAATTGCTTTTTATTTATTTACCTACAATACTGTTTTTGAATAATGCTGTATTAGACAGTATGGATTATTGTTTTTCTCCTTCTGAAAAAGGGGGGGGGGGGTAGATTGATAGTCAGAAAGAAAGTCCTCGTTAATGACCTATCAGGTACACCTCCATGCGGTTCTCCTGGAATTTATCCTGGTTAATTATTGTGTAATTTGTCACGGTGGACCGACTTGTTATAATTCTCACCTAACACTACTTAGTGGTACCGCGCCTTCGTTAACATTACATTATCATGCACAAATAAAACAGATTTTTTCTTTGCCAATGTACACAAAGTATTTTAAAGGTTTTTATCGATTTTTAGATCCTTCTATTTTAGTATTGTGAGTAAATATGAATTGGATTCTCATTTCTACACTGAGCCTCTCATTCAGGCTGTTGTATGTGCAGTATCGTGAATATACCTATCTCTTCATATTTATTTACTTATTTAATTCTTGGTAATATTATAAGTGTGGAAGTGATTTTGTTTATTTGTTACTACTTGGTATTTTAGCGGCACAACCAACTTACACGTATGTACACCACAACCAACTTGTACGTATGTTTTCGAGTATTTGGGGGTATTTGCATTATTTGGGCTGTTGGCTATACCCGGACTTCCTATATCCAGCCAGTGTAAATGTGAAATTATCTATATAAATAAAACAAAATGGGTCTTTTTAATGATTGATAATGGAATGGTAACCCGATAAAAGTTGAGCATGAAACAGGTTAATTTGCCCATAGTGACGAATTAGTAAAGAATTAATTAAGAAGGTTTCTAGGGAGAACCGCGTGAAGATCGTAAGGTATATTACTAGCAATAGAGCTGTTAGATCTCTACTACTAATAATCCCTTTCCCCCAACGAAGTTGGGATAGTTACACCATTTATAACTTTAGAACAGCTGGACAGATTTTGACACTCTATGATTTGTTGGATTTATCTCCGCCCCGAATAGCAGAATAACTATTAAAATGTCGGAAAGATTCACGTAAAAAATACAAAAAAAATATATATTTTTTTTTAAACTGTTAGGCGATACGAAGTTCGCTGAGTTAGCTAGTACTGTATTATATAAGATCAATATACATCAGGAATTCTAGGCTATTGTCGTAATATTGTAATTTAATATATTTGTCTACAAATTCTAAGACATTAATAGCAAGTACCATTCGCTCATTATAATTTACCTTATGTGTAGGCAGACCGGGAATGAAGTGCGGTTGACAGCCGGTTTCGTTCCTTTCAACAATGTTAAATATAGTAAGCACCTATTAATGGAGACACGACAACTTTGAATTGGTATTTGTATTTATTAATAGATCACTCCTATGATCGCATGATAGTTATAAAAATGCTTAAAAAGGCCTTAAAACTCATTTTATCAAAGTTGATGTATACTTATAACATTATTTGAAAGTGTTGGTTTTTTTTAATGGATGACAACGGAGTGGTTACAGTGCACTAACATTGCGTTAATAGTATACACTGGCGGTGCACCAGTGAGAGATGATAGGTGAGAATGGAAACGCAGGTCAATTAGCCCATCGTGATGAATACACCTGGAATCCAACACAATGGTTTCTAGGGTGAACCATGTGGAAATCGACCCGACAGGTTATATTGCTAGCAATGGGACTGGTAGTCCGCATTACTAACAAGCCATTCCCCCTGTAGGGGAGGATGAAGTAGATCAGATTCTTAATAGATAAATGTTATTATAATGTACATAAATTCATTAATGATAAAATTTGACAAAACGAATATTTATTTATATTTATTAACATCATTGTGACATCGTTCTTTTATTCTTGCCTGACAATTATTATTTATTGAAATGTATTTAAAATTATAATGTGATGACGATTAATGGTATAAAATGGATTTAATGTATAATGTGAATTATCTACTACATGTAATAGTAATATAACTACATATTTTTGTATGTCGTACAGGCTAAACATGTCGAACGATATTATATTGTCAATATCTGCATGTATTTGTACCCATGTTTTACAAATAAATAAATCTTGAATCTTGAATCAGTTAGTCCATCGTGACGAATTCAACAAGAATTGTTCACGATAGTTTCCAGGGGGAACCACGTGGAGGTCGACCTAATATATAATAATATTGCTAGCAATGGAGCTGTTAAACTCCATTGCTAACAATCCCATTCACCTCGATTCGAATGAAAGTTGGATACCGTATATTAATTCACGCAGGTAAAGCTCGGGAAATAGCTAGTATTATTTTAAAATAGATAATGTTAAAAATGGGGGTTTAAAATAGGGTTGATTAAATGAGGAGATGATTAAAACTGTATACTAGACTTGAGAGGTACTGAGACATGTCGAGACACCTGAATATTACAAGTCTTCAATGTCTAAAACAGACATTTTTGAAATATACGTGTAATAAATACAATAAATTGTGTTAGTGGTTTCATTAAATTCGACAATGCAATAAATTGCTTTAGTTCTAAAACTTTTCAATGGAATTTAAGGTCTTTATGAAGTCAAAAGCTCTCAAATGGATGAATTGATGTTAACGTAGATCTTGTATAATTAATCCTAATTCCTTTCACATTATTTATTTATTAAAATTTTAACGCAGAGTCACCATATTTTTACATTTGGCGGACTTAACACCGGATGGTGTTCTCTACCAGTCAACCATTGGGCAAACAAAGATATAAGTTATAAATATTATAAATATGAGATTGTTTAAATATGTTTTTAGGATGTTTCTTAATCAATTATGTTTAAACGGCTGAACAGATTTGAATACAATTTAGTATATGGGTCAATAAACCAATATGTATTGTTTGTAATTTTAGTAGGAATAATATTATTTCTTTAGTTCGTGACTTCGACCCCATAACTACGATATTGATTGATTGACTGAACTAAAATGTAATCAATCTTCTCTGGGCCAAATTTCATGATGATTGGGTAGCTCGTTAAGACGTCAAAAGGTAACAAAGAAACAAACCCATTTTTACTAGACCGAAAGATATTTCGGTCTAGATACAATTTTAAATATATAATTTCGATATAAAGATATTTATATCTCCCATTTTTAAGTAAAATAAATATGAGAGATTTAAGTATGATCA